TTAGAATACCTTATCCCACTGCTCAAGTAATGAAGTATTAACAGTTGAGCAGCTGCTGGCCACTCAACGTTTAGGGGGCATAACCCAACCAATTGCATGTTTCTTTTCGTCAAGCAGCATATATACGGGTGTCCTATGCCCACCCACACCCGCCCCATATGCTTTTATTTTTCTTTATAAAAACTCTTTGTAGCCAGGGCCGACACTTCCTATAGGCAGCATAGGCAGGCGCTTAGGGCGCCCCTTAGGGCTGCAGCTCTGCGTGGACCGGCGTGGAGCACGCAAGAAAAGAGGGATCGGCAGGAGGGAAGCGCAAAGCACTCCCTCCTGTCAGTCCCTCAGTGTAGCGTGGCCAAGCTCCATCCGGTCCGCGGTAAAGGAGCATCCGTCTCCTGTACCCAGCCGGACTGACAGGAAGTGCTCATTCAGAGGGAGGGGGAGAGAGAGACAAGAGAGGGAGGGTGGAAGAGAGAGACAATGGAGGGAGGGGGGAGAGAAAGACTAGGGAGGGAGGGATAGAGAGAGACAATGAAGGGAGGGGGGACGATAGAGAACATGGAGGGAGGGGGGAGAGAGAGACTAGGGAGGGGGTGAGTAGAGTGAGACTATGAAGGAAGTGGGGTGAAGAGACAACTAGGGGAGGTAGGGGGGGTGAGGAGAGACCACTATGGTGGGGGTGGGGGTGAGGAGAGACCACTAAGGAGAAGGGGGAGGAGAGACCCCAATGGGGTGGGGTAGAGGAGAGACCACTAAGGGACGGAAGGGAGCTCTAAGGGACAGGCGGTAGGAGAGAGCACTAAGGGACGGGGGGGGGAGGTAGGAGAGAGCTCCAAGGGATTGGGGGCAGGGCAGAGCAATAAGGGACAGTGGGGCAGGATGCATCAGTAAGGGACAGGAGGGGAGAGCACTAAGGGAAAGGGGGCAGGGAGATCATTAAGGGACAGGGGAGATCACTAAGGGAGAGTGGGGCAGGGGAGAGCACTAAGGGACAGGAGGGGAGAGCACCATGGGAAAGGGGCCAGGGAGAATGCGGGGGAGGGGGGTGGCATGAGAGAGGAGAGACCAGTAAGGGATGGGGTGGGGAGAAGAGACCAAAATTGGACAGGGGAGGGCTCTAAGGGGTGGGGGGGGGAGAGCTCTAAGGAGCAGGGGAGAGTTCTAAGGGACAGTGGGGCAAGGGAGAGCAATAAGAGACAGTGGGGCAGGATACAGCAGTAAGGGACGGGGGGGAGAGCACTAAGGGAATATTGGCAAGGAAGATCACTAAGGGACAAGGGAGATCACTAAGGGACAGTGGGGGAGAGCAATAAGAGACAGGAGGAGAGAGCTCTAAGGGACAAGAGGGGAGAGAGGCTGAGGAAGGAGGGAAAGAGAAGCAAAAAGGGGCTGGTAGGACTCAGCCTCTATCTTACTCCACAAACTCTCTATTTTACATTACACACACACAATGCATCCCTATACATACACAAAAACACACAATGCATCCCTACACACACAGAAACACACCATGCTTCCCTTACACACAGAGAAACACACAATGCATCCATTACACACACACACACACACAATGCAACCTTTACACACAAAGACAATGCACACCTTGCACACATACACAGAAACACACACTGCATTCCGTACACACAGAAACACACAATGTATCCCTCACACACACAGAAACACACACTGAAATACAATGCATCTCTTACACACACTCAATGCACCCCTTACAGACACACACACTGCATCCCTTACATACCCAGAAACACACCTTGCATACCTTACACATACAAACACATATCCCTTAAACACAACCAGAAACACACAATACATCCCTTACACACAAACACACACTGCTTTCTATCCCTTACACAAAAACACACAGCATCCACTACACACACACACACACACACACACACTGCATCACCTACACAAACTGGTATCCCTATACACTACATTCCATAAGCACACACTTTAGATCCCCTACACACTCCATTCCCTGTGAGTGAGCTCATGGGTGGAACATGTAGGTGGACTTATGGGTGGGCCTTATGGGCATACTCACCGTCAGGCCCTGGGGGACAAGACCTTGAGCTGTGCAAGGGGCCCAAAAAATGGAGCTGCTTCACGTTCCCCCAGAACATTGACTTTTGTGACCACAGTTACAAACAGCTGCCAGAGAGCCTGTTCTACACTAGACCAGTGGAGCTAGACTACAGCCAGAGCCCATCTTCATCCTCGTCTGGTTGTAAGTAGTCAATCTAGTATATTATTCGTGGCACTAATCTCTAATTTACCTTACATTAAAGGGACACTATAGTCCCCAGAACCACTGCAGCTTAATGAAGTGGTTCTGGTGTCTACAGCCTGTCCCTGCAGGCTTTTTAATGTAAATACACACTGTGTACAGCACTGGCATTAGCTCATATGGCAGATCATATGGGTGGGGCATTGTGATGTCACATGGGGGGGGACAAATTTTTATTTTGCCTAGGGCGGCAAAATTCCTTGCACTGGCCCTGTTTGTAGCATATGGCTAGCTGTGCTGTCCAGACCCCACATATTTGCTGACCACTAGCACAACCTGAGGCCCACTAGTGTGAATTTTGAAAATTATAACAATCCAGTACTGAATTCCTTTTATTTGATTTCACATTTCAACCATCCGGTTGCATCCAGATATGCTAAAATCTAATTTGAGGGCTACTTTGCAAAATCTGGTCGTAATAATTTTTTTGTGAATAACTCTGTGTGTCACCAAAATTGTAGCTCATATATTATCAGGAGTATTCACTAAGGTGAGAATTTAAAGTGAACTCAAAGTGAATTTCAAATTTAAACAGACACTAAAGTAACCAGAATAACTACAGCTTAATGTAGTTGTTCTGGTGAGTATAGACAGTCCCTGCAGGCATTTTCATGCAAACACTGCCTTTACAGAGAAAATGCAGTGTTTACATTGCCCCCTAGGGACACCTCCACGTTGCCACTCCCCAGATGGCCACCGGAGGTGCTTCCTGGCTTAGTGCTGCACAGTAGGCAGCACTGCTGTTCAGCGTATTCACCCTCTGCATGGGGACGCTGATGTTTCCTCCTAAAGATTGATTCAATGCATCTCGATGAGGAGTTGGTGATTAGCTAAACCGATGCTTGGCCTTGCCCCCCTTGCCGATTCTGAAGATGTCACCAAGGAGGCGGATCGTGGTGGGGCCAGCGTCGGTGCACCCGCATGGCGCTGGAAATAATGTGAGTTTTCATCTTTTTTAAGGGGCTAAGTGGGGGACCAGCCACCTAAATGGTAAATTAAACACTATAGGGCCAGGAATACATGTTTGTATAGTATCCCATAGTTTGTAATACCCTATAGTGTTCCTTTAATATCAAAACAGCTGAAATGGAAGCCTAGCTGCCTTGGAGAATGTTTTCACTTTGGCTACATTTACCTTAAATATGACACTCACTTTAGTGACTAACCCTCTATGTTTATTTACAGGAATCCCAGTAGCAGTGAGAGATATAACAAAGTTAGACAGTCTGGATGGTATGCTGAGTACTACCCTAATAAGCAGAGGGCCCTTTATAGCGTTACATAACATAGATAATGGTTACCAACTATACCCAAATGTGTACCTTAATACAATCAATTTATTTTGCCTCTAGACATGCGATTGTTGTGGGCACGGTCTTATAGATATTTTTAATACACCTTTCATCATTTTGCCATGTGTATGTATTCTGAGAAGATTAAGTGGGAAATCATGCTTTGCCACATTATTGGTACATGGTTCCATCTAGTGTACTTTTTGCAAATTGCACTCTTACATCACTTTATAGGTAAAGGGTGTAGCTGTCAAACAGCACTACCATGAATCTTACACAAGGGACATTAAATACCCATGATATAGGCACCTTTTCTACAACACAGTTGCATATGTTCCCTCTAATAATGCATTGGAAAGAGCATGTGAATTTACTGCTAAATTGTTAACCCATGCATAAAAGATAGCTTGTCAGTCCTATCATGATATAACGGGATTTGCTTAACAAAATTGTCGTGAAGGGGTTAATAAAATTAGGTTTAAATAAATAAAAATGCTGCTTTGCAGGTGTTTTCCATTATGTAGGTGCAAATAGGCCCCTTTGGAATATGGGTTGACTTGCCTGGTCATCTCTGCAATATATTCTGGTTCATTTGATTTTAAGTACAACTATAGCCGCCCAAACCACTTCATCTCCATGTAAACCTGCAATGTAAAATGTAACAGTATTGTAGAAAATTAAGTTTTTTCATTGCAGGATTAAACACACCTTTATGACTATCTATCTGAGAGAGACTAGAGGTACGTCCTTCTCCAGAACCAAATTCTGTTATTTATGGGACTATAGGTTCCCTTAAAGTTCTAACCACGCAACTTCATAATTTTGCTTCTGAGCACCTGCTATACTAGACAGTGTTGTGTTAAGTGAATAGATTTCAGTCAATCAAAATGGATGCCACCTATAGACTGTAAGCTCGTTTGAGCAGGGTCCTCTTACCTTATCGTTCCTGTAAGTTTTTTGTAATTGTCCTATTTATAGTTAAATCCCCCCTCTTATAATATTGTAAAGCGCTACGGAATCTGTTGGCGCGGTATAAATGGGAATAATAATAATAATAATAGCAGGCTGGGTCAGTAAATTTTAACTCATACACTGTTCCTGGAATGTGTAACAGGATTGTGCAGGGGGGCACATCCTGCCAAAAGAGGTGTTTTTCCATGTGCACCAAGCTGGCCAGCAGTGCAAGGATGGCCATACACAAAACACTCTTGAGGGATTCTCACATTATAGTATAGCCGAGTATCTGCGGATATTTTGAAGGAATCACTCGAGGAACTGGATTTCTGGTATGGGTAACATTTTTATTTGAAACAACCTATACTCCCTCCCCAGTATACAAAAAGTTGCAGGGTTATGGTGAGTATTGCCAGGAACACAAAGTAAATTTCTAAATCTATTCCATATTAGCCATATTAGAAAAATTCTCCAAGTCCGTTCTGTTTTGAGTTTGCTTAAATAGCCTCAAACTTTTAATTCACTTTGAATTCCAACAATTTTTTCTCTAGTGAATAACCTTAATCACTTTCCCACTGGCATTCACACCTCATCTGTCTTATTTCCTTTAAGCCCTTCATTTGAGTCACACTGGATGAGTGGGAAGAGAGGTTGACAGCCAGCATGTAGGTTAAGTAAGAAGGGTATGAGGTCCAATCGAAAGTGTAACTTGTCACGGTCTTGATTTACCATGTACAAACAGGGAAATTGTCCTCATATTTTAGGGAATGTAGTGACCTCATAGAAAAGGGCATATGGACAACTTAGCCAGTGTTTACAAAATCCACTACCACCAGACACCCTAGACTAATCATGATAATCAGACTATCACATTCATATGCCATAAAAACAAAAAGCAAATAAAATAGGCACCAATATTTTATAAAATTTGAAAGGACAGTTTTTTATATTTTAAAAGAAAGCAGCACCTTAAAAGTGTAACAGCTCATAAAAGTACACTCTAACTAAAAACAAAAAAGTGCACCTTTATTATAATTTTTTTTTTCTTTTTAAAAAGTGACAAATCACTCAAAATTCTTATAGGTGCAAATCGTACAAGTGCACTGTGCAAAAAAATAAAAAAATAAAAACACTTTACAAACACTGCATAAAGTGCCAATAGTTTGTGCAAAAGGAAATTCTATTAGCGCACACAGTGAAATAAATACAACACTTACACTGTACTATTCACTTGTTTAGTCCAAAGAAATGGATGTTTCTTCTAAAACTCAGTAACATAATAAAATCGAAACAACAAAAAATATGTAGTGTAATACAATTTCAATAATATATCCACTTTAAGCCTAATTTTGAAATACCACTCACAAGGGGGGAACAGAAATAGTCTGTTCTAGACTAGCACTTTCAATATCCCAAGCCTGGTATATCAAGAACTGAACGGCAGCAGAAAACGCTTTTCAATGCTTTATGTTTGGGGTATCATATAAAATCATGCCACACCACCTCCAACTTGTGCCGCCTCCTTTCGTACACAACAGTCCCTCCAGTCTGCCGCCGGCTTCAGCGTTACCTCAGGCTGTGGATGCTTCAGGGTACTTTCTGATGGCCTAGTTTCGTATCATTGTACAAAGGTATTGTAAAGTGGTGACGCATTTCGCCTTGTATCGGCTCCCTCAGATCACTGCTGCTAAGTCTGCCCTATGGTCATGTATAAATTATAATATTGAAAGTCATTGGTGTTCTTGAAATCCCTAGAGATTTTTGCAAAAGTTCTTAAATGCTTTTTCGTAGTGCATACCGTCTTATCATAGAGTCTCATTGAAGTCCCAAAAGTCTTACAAGGTATACCACCTAAACATTGCACAATTCCCTGCATATAACGTGCAAAATAATCTTTGCTCTAAATAAGATTACAAAACAACCAAAGAATATTTAAACAAAAAATATGTACAATATAAATTGTTTAGTCATAATATTTAGAAAACCTACTACATAGGAAAGAAAACGAGAAAATGTTAATATAATCTTCAAGACACTCAAAAATTCTACTATACACTTAAAATAGTGATTTATGAAAAAGTTAAAAATTGTGTAAAAAAATTGTCCACTATATAAAAATAGTTTAAAGAAAATTAAAAAGATATAATTCTATATTAAGCCCCTTAAGTTCCAATATCTCCAATTTATAGACTCATCTTATTTCTTCTTTACCTATATTTATCTTGTGATTTCTACCTCTCCAAGATTTTTTTTAACTATCTTTATTCCTTTATTGTGGTTTTTTTTTTAAAGAGCAGAAAAAAAAAAAAAGTGTTCAAAACTTGTATCGATATTATATATTTATGTTCATAGATTCTCTTATGGAGGTGACATATAGTGCAGCCTACATATTGTAGTCCACATAGACATATTAAAAGATAAATAAAGTTTTTATTAAAACATATAATAAAATCTTTAATATAAAGGTCCTTCTCTTAGTTTTGAATTTTTGTATTCTTCTTAATGTTTTATTGCCTCAACATTTACATCCTGTATATTTTCCACATGAATAAAAACATTTTTATTATTTAAAAACGTGGTTGTTTTTTCTTCTCTTTGATGATTAAAAGACAACATTCTTTTAAAAGTCGGTGCTCCCCTGACCGAAATAAAAGGTTTTTCAGGGATGATTTTAGACAATTCCTTATGTTTTTTTGTTTTGTTTTAGAGGCCAATGTTTATTAACTATACACTTCATTTTCTTAAAATCACTATTAATATCAAACACCAGATGCGCTGCATTGTTATTACCATTCTCCAATAGAACTTTTCCTGAATCATTTTTGCTACTTCCTCATATGCTTTATCCAATATTTTTTGGGTGTATCTTCTCTGCATCATCTGTACAATTATTTTTTAGTCTTTGAAATTACCCTTTTGGAATATTATTCCACAATTATATAAAACATCCACCTTGATAAAAAATAAAAAAAAAATGAAAGTTTTTTGTTTTTTTAATTGGTCTTTATTTTACATTAATTTCCAAATCTAAAAAGTTAATATTTGCTATACTATAGGAACTAATGGGGTGAATCCTCCAATAATTTGTATTAATTCTATGTAAAATCTTTTCCAAATTTGTAATCGTCCCTTGCCACACAAAGCATAGATCATCTATTATCTATGCATCTTTGATATGTGACCCCCTATTCTGGACTGTTATAAACACATTTTCCCAGACAGACATAAAAAGATTAGCATAACTGGGAGTGAATCTGGTCCCCATTGCAATGCAAATAAAATTAAGAATTAAAAGAGAAATAATTATTTAAAACCCATTGGATACGATCAATTAAAAAATTAACGCAGACCACCCCACTGGCACATTATCTTCAAAACAACCACAAACTTAAGTGCTCTATCTGGGTGGCCGCCATTCATATAACTGAATAACACGTGCTCTGGAAAATGGCAGCCATCTTGTCTCCCGAACGCAGGCAGCGGTACTTGGTCTTCGAGTGTCTGGAACTCAGAGATGGATACTGCAACTTGTGAAACACAGTGACCGTGTCGCTGTCTGCTTCTGTTCCCGACAAGCCAGGAGAGCGCTGTTCAGCGAAAAAGTTTGCACGAACAATCGCTACCTATGAGCCAGGGGTACCATTAGTTTATATTCACGTAGGAACTCCTGAAGGCTGAGCGACCACGACCACTTTTCTTATGGAACTCATTATTATGTGTGGTCGGTCAAAACTTTACCTAGATGGCGATTCCACCAAACGGATCTGAATGATATTTGGACAACTTGGGCGCTTAGATTTGGGCTATCCGGATATAAGACTTGTGGGGGTACCTATTAATATGTGTGTTTTGGGGTCTTTTATGCATTGTACCTCTAGTGCCTGGGAGATAATTAGTTTAAGCAAAGCAAACTCACTTATCTCTCGTACACAGAGACGTCTGGGCTTGTTGTGCCTATGTTTTGGCTTAAACCCCCCTGCTTGGGGTTTGTGTCTAAAAGTGGTCCATTTGGCCATAATAAAACATTCCTGTTGTACCCTTCATCACGTCTTGACTGATGTTTGGGTACGCCAACGACCGAAAACTAAAATTCGCATAAACTTGCAGGATTTCAGGAGCGTTCAAACGAACGTACTACACAAAGTACATGAGGTTCATTACACACTTTACAACCTAAATCAGGAGAAATGGATGTATATAATGAGGATACATCACTTGTTACTAAAATGAATGTATCTTCCCTTTTTAGTCTCTTTAAACATTTTATAACATTCGCAGTATCTTTTAAATGCAGTGGCATTTCTTTGACCAAGTCTTGTAACCATATGTCCACATAGACATGTTGCATGGTAACAAATTAGCAGATTTGCAGAGCAATGTGCATTAACATAGCCAGCCAGTCTATGAAAAGCCACATCTGCAAGGCCACCAACAGATTGATGCAAAGTTGTGGTGGATACTTAAAAGGAAAAGATTACAGCTATCCTTCATGACACTCCAGACTGTTTCTAGTAAGTCTTGATTCTATGGTTGATAGTAAATTCATGTTTAATCATTTACTTGTCTTTATAAAAACCAAAATTTAAAAAGAAAGCAGGAAATGAAAAATAAACGTTAAAGGTTTCTTAAATGCCTGATTGAGATAAAACATTGCAAATAAAATTATAATCATCTGAATGTTTATTTGCTGCCAATTACAAGGTTCTGCTAATGTCAGGACTTGGTTGAGATTTCTCAGCCAGTCTTAGTCCTACATTGGGTTTCATTAGGATGCACTGCACACATGCCTATTGGATAATAAACTGCAGCTGACAAATATGTCAGCATTGACAGGGAAAAAAGTAGGGGAAAAAAAAGGAATTTCATGAAATTTTATTTTCAGCCATGATAAATAGCTTCTTTTGTGATGTCATGTTTGGGGTAGCTTTACAAACATTTTAAAAGAAAGCATGTTATGAAAGAACGGATAATATGAAATGTGAAAGGCAATCCTTTCAATATTCAAACATTTTTTAATTCTTTATTTTTGTTGCACGTGAGATTACAAGGAATAGAAAAACGTGCATTGCCTTAACAGTAGTAAGCAAGTATATTAGAACAGCTAGTGACATGGCATGTTAGAAAACTGCACAATTTGTTTTTTAGTTCCAAGGTAGACAGTCTAGACATGCACGAATAGACAATTTCAACTTAACCATACTTGGTATGTGTGTATAAACATTAAGATCATCAGGCTAGCTCAAATATGTTTGACCAAATTACATAGCCTGAGGTAATATAAACAGGTAGACAATATGTGACTGCAGTGACATGCCCCGAACAATTAGAGAACAGCTGAGGATTAACCTATGTCATAGAAACATAGAATGTGACAGCAGTTAAGAACCATTCGGCCCATCTAGTCTGCCCAATTTTCTAAATACTTTCATTAGTCCCTAGCCTTATCTTATAGTTAGGATAGCCTTATGTCCCATGAGCAAAATACATTGGCTTTCAGGTTGAGGGGGAAGCTTTGAGAGAGCATTCCTAGGAAACAGATCGTCAGTCATAGAAGGGCATAGGGGAAGTGTCCAATGTTGCTGTCCCAATATAATAGCCAGGTGCAGGGTGAGTAGTAGGTGTAGGTCCCCTTTTGCTTAAGTGGCATTGAGCCATATGCTGAAAATGCTGCCTCCAACACTTTTGCAGTCTCACCGCTCCATGCAGCCGCCGTGCTTTCGGTCCTGTTAGGGAAGTGGCTTTCTGGCTTCGAAGTTCGCTTGGCAATGAAGACATGGACATGGTAAGTTGTAGACGCTCATCTCCAGACGCCTGCAGCCGGCTATCAAGTTTGGACCAGAAGTTCTAGAATATCCTGTTGAGGCTCTCAGTGACTTGGAGCAAGGTGTTACCCAATTTGAGTGGGCACATGGCATGCGCCATCTGATTCTAGATGAGGTGGCCTCAGTTCTTCAGGGTTTGCTGGCGACACCCGCTGCAGCTCTAGAGGAGATGCCGGGATAACCTATGCTGGGGATAGTGGAGGACTCTCCGAGCCTTGTAATCTGAAGCAGCCGGCTGTGGAATTGGCTGCATTCCCCACACCAGCTGCTGGTAGGCCGCAATTCTGATCCACTCCAGATCCAACAGTCTTGACTAGAGCCAATGGTGTTTTTCTTGTCCAACGTGAGTCGTGAGTTACAAGATTTAAAGCTTAATTTCTAGAGGATATCTCCGAGCTCCTTATTTATGAGTCTTCAAAGGCTCTGTCTTTCACAATCCTGTCCTGTTGAGGACCCTTTTTGTTTGAGCACTATTTCAATCAGCAGTGTCTGTCAGTTTTTTTTTTGTTTTTTTTAAATATATTTTAAGAAAAGTATTTTATTTTAGGTCCTGTTAAAAAGGAACATGCCAAATACCATACCACTACAGTGTGCTGTAGTGGCAATGTGGCCAATTTAAGCAGTTACATAATTTTCTAATGATTTGGCAACTTACCCTTACATTGAGCTAACTGATGCAGGTGGAAATATCACTACAGCACCAGGAAAAAAGGGAGCCAGGGACAAGCAACTTTTTCCACATAAGAAGCATTGAAACACTCAAAGCAACATCTTGTTTGATATTAAACTGGGGACATCACAATTGCACTTTGGGTAGCATAATCACTACAGCAAGTTTGTGTAGTTGTATTCTTTATAGTGTCAATTTAAGTTGCATTGAGTGCTCCTTTCATTGATAAGACTAGTTGTTTTTAATTCTAGTAATGTTTGGATTTCAACAACAAGACTAGAATAGAAAGCATTAACAAAACATTGTGTGTTCAGGGCTTGGAAGGATTTATTTTGCACATGCGAAATGGGCCCCCAGATCACTACCCACATCAAACTGTTGCACAACAATACGTAGTACAGGTCTTTTTTACTAAAGTAAATTGTAAGAAAAACACACATAGTACAGCTCAATTTGTCAAAATGGTTTTATTTACACAAAATGACAAACATATTTTTCATTTTAATCCACAGAAAATAGAGTACGGATTTGTATTAAATTTAATAGTTCTTGTCAATAAAACCTGCCTCACTACATTCCATTCAATCCAGTATGCAGTGGTTTGTGTGTCTATTCTAGAATGTGAAACTCAGTGGAGGGGTTTAATTGACAATGACAGACTTGATTAGACATCATGTTTTTGTATGCCATCGATATGTTATGGGACTGGGTAAGAGCACACAATAGCGGAGTTCCTAGGATCCATGGATATTAAAGCAGATTTTCCTAAAATCTTATCTTGCTAATTTAAAAGTAACATTTACCATTCATTAGTTTTGAGTGTACTAATTGGATTGTATAATGCCAATTTTTATTGCATCTGTCACTTGTTGGTGTTTCCAGAAATGTAATCAAAATGAAAAGAAAACAAAGTTACAAGATTTACACATATATGCACAGATATTTGGCCAGTTTCAATGTCTGCTGGGCAACGGAAACATTGCTAAATAACTCTAGGCTACATTTCAGAGTTCAGTCGTTTAAAATATTCATGAATAATGCTGCTCTTCCAGCTCCATGTCATACCGATAGCATACAAGGTTAACAGGAAAAAAAAAAAAAAAAGTCTGAGAGGTGGCAACCTTTTAAATTGTAGCATTCCTTTCCAAATGATTGCAAGTTGGGATGCTTTCAGCAGTGACACATCGTGCCCTTTACTGCACCTAGATACATACGAGCTCACTCGGAACATGCAATAAAGTTGTGTGCATCTGATCAACATGCAGATTCCACCAAACATTCTTTGAGTTTTTTGTAAATTATATTAAAGTGCACCTGAGTTGAGGTTTGTCTTTTATATACTCTTGATTCTTATCATTTCAACATCCAATTATAAAAACCATCTACTGTAAAAATAAATAGTAGGAAATCACATAGTATATCTTGTTTGTGATGATGAAGCACCAAAGTAATATTTAAAATGCTAATATATTAAGCCACTTCTGAAACAGTCATAAAACCAATAAGCCAACTGGAACTCAATAACTTTCAACTGTTGCACTCACACCATTGAAAGCTGGTAGAAAAGAAAGAATGTGATCTTCATAAACATTTTTTGGTGTGCAATAGTACTAACGTCTAGCGTAATAGCAAGCCCAACTTCTCTGAACACATTCATATTCAAAAGATAAGAAGTATAAATCAAATTAACAGTGTGTCTATTTAATATATAAAAAATACCACACACTTAAAGAACGTTTCTCAACATCAGGGAGGCAAAAATGCAGCCCCATGCAACAAACGTTCTAAAACAGGCTACCATTTTAGAATGTCTGCATTTAAAATATTCAACCCACACACATCCGGTGTCTGTTTTATTGTGCCCATTTGTGAAAACACGCTCTGAGTGTTTCAGTCACTACTCATTTTGTAGCCCAAGTCTCTTTCATTTTTTTTTTCCTTTAATCATCACTGTCATCATAGCTTTGCTCTCTACCCTCACTCTGCTCTCAATTCTGGAACTTGATGTTATTCTTTTATAGTAGGATGTTTTCTTCTACCATCATCAACACGCTTTTTAATCCATCTCATGCGCTTACTGTAGCCATTCTTTTATAGCTCATTCAAGACCATTTCTCTCCATTTCCTTTTGAGAAAGGTTTCCCATCATTGGCTAAGTGATCAGCTAGTAATCTGCAAAGCATGCATTATACCCACCAATGGAAAGCTAGTTAGCTGTTTACGTGATATTAAATCCTACTCTAAGTGCTAGGTGAACAGAATCTAAGCACACTTAGCATGCATTTGGTGTACCAAGACAGTGTTGCTACAGTTTAGCAAAATGTGTAGTAAACTTATGACTGTTTTTATATACCGACTATAAACATATGAAACATTTGAACGAACAACATTTAGAGGCTGCTAACCTTGAAATTATTAAGTTACATGGTGTCTTGAAACAACTAAGGGCAATTGTACTGGAGATAACAATACATTACAATACATTACTAACGGATTTAAACTAAGCCACATTAAAAGACTATATTAAATAAAAACAAAACAAAAAACAGTGGGAATGTTCAAAATAGATATCATTTAGAAAACTGCAAATAGGCCCAAACATCTTGTACATCATCAAATGTCACTTGAAGATGTCTCCCTTCACTTATAGCCAAAAAATAATAAACCTTAACACAGATACATAACTCATTTTCACTAAAGCACTAGTATACCAATGCACAATGTTAAAACACTCAAAGTGTTGGACGTTAAGAATGAATATTCCTGGCTTTGTGTGACTGGTGACACTGGGAAAGAAAGGGATACAGTAAAACACATAGACATTACTGAAATTTACATTTAGAATAAGAAATGTATTGTGGTTTTATTTGTATAGTCTAGAAGCAACACAAAATGAACCCGCATTAAATAAAATAACGGTTAAAAAAAAATACTTATAGTAGCAGCTTAGTGTCAAAGGATAAAATATAATTTTTTGGCACTATGCACATACATCTATTTTAAGGCCCAAACTGAGACTGCTTTAAAATGCAGCCCATCATTAATATAGGTTTATAAAGATAAACCATTATAGACATAATTGTTATTAAAGATTTTAAGACCTTTCTTTATAAAGGACATTCTTGTATGCTTAATGCACACTGTACATGACTCTTCTTACACAAGAATCAAAGTATTTCGAGTTATATTGAGATTGAGCCACGTATCATGCTTTGTTACCAGATTAATTACTACAAAGTTTCAGTGAGCCTTTGATTTTAATATAAATTTAACCACAAAAGTAACCCCACTTGGTCCTTAAGATCGGTTTGTTTTCTTCTAATAAATTGTGCATGATTCCTTTATTTAATTCCGCAGAATATAATTTTAATCTGTGGATGCTTCACACAGTATAGCAGAAACCAGTATTTTCCACTAGTTTGCCCATACTATTTTAACATTTCTTCAATTCTGTTGCACTCTCTCTACAGGAGAGAAATAAGGTAGAAATCTGGCTGATGTTTTTACGAGTGGCTGTTTTCTGCTTAATTTTGAAGAATTGCACTATTGTCCCCAACTTGTAGTCTTTTTGTCTTTCTCAAATACACTTCTAGAGGAGGTTGCAACTGGTCAGAGGGCTTTTGGATTTTTTTGTTCTCTGTTTGTTTGGCCTCAAAGTGATCACGTCTCCTCCATTAAGAGTACTTGATTTCTGCCCAGAATGACTGCCACCTGCTGTGTTAAAAACCCCTAGTAGAGAAAGAATACATAGATGTAATTTGCACAATCGATTCAACAAAATCAATGTAGACAAACATGTAAAAATAAAGGTTGGCAAGACAAAAATAAAAGCTTACAAATAAGCTAAACAATGCTATAACAAAAGTAGCAAGCAGGTGCACAGGGAAGATAAAGGGTTTTTTAACATTTTCTACTTCACTAACTTTAAACTATTGATTACTTAAACTACCTGCTTATTATTTTTGTTTCCCAATTTTACTATTATACATTGATAAATATTGTGAAGTAGAGCAGTACATAACTCATTTGAGCTCTCTGTTTATATTGTTAAAGGAACACTATAGGGTCAGGAACACAAATGTATTCCTGACCTTATATAGTGTTAAAACCACCATTTAGCCCCCTTGCCACTCTAAATATAGTAAAATCAGACTTGTATTCAAGTCTGTAGCTGCTGCCTCTGACCCTGATCTGCCTGCTTGGTTGACATCATCAGAAGTTATTCTCTGAACCAATCACAATGATTTCCAATAGGATTGACTGAGACTGTCAAGGAGGCAGATCAGGGGTAGAGTCAGCACAATCCAAACACAGCCCTGGCCAATCAGCATCTCCTCGTAGATATATACTGAATCAATACATCTATATGAAGAAAGTTCAGTGTCTGCATGTAGAGGGTGGAGACAGTGAATGGCAGTGCTGCACATTGCGCAGCACTGCCCCATGAAGCACCTCTCATAGCCATCTGAGGAGTGGCCAGTAGAGTTAGAGGCTGTAATGTAAACACTGCATTTTCTCTGAAAAGACAGTGTTTACTGCAAAAGGCCTGAAGGTAATGATTCTACTCACCAGAACAAATACGATAAGCTGTAGTTGTTCTGGTGACTATAGTGTCCCTTTAAAATTGCAAGGGGCATATTCACTGAGAATAGCACATTTCTGGTAAAACATGAGTACTTCCACATTTAAATGGTATTCCCATTTCCCAGTGTATCATTTGACATATTATAAACTGGATTCTTTCAGGAACAACAAGTACTAATGAGTTAGATAAAATTGTATAGTTGGAAAAGTACTCCATATTTGTAATGCATTATACAAGACATTAAAATATTAAAAGAATCAAATGAAAAGAAACCATTAATATCCGTAAAGTGTCCCTTGGTGCACTGCTATTGGGTCTGCTAGCAGCTTCAGGCAGACCTCTCCCATTCCAATCAAAAGGGTTATTTCTTATTCTAGTCTTAGTGGCCTGATCGTATCCCATAAACACTTGTCCAGCAGCTGTTAGTAGCTTATCTTCAACCTGCAGATCCAGTCATCACATAGGAAGATTGGAAATGAATTGTAAATGATAACAGCTGTACCACCAGCTATCACTTTATACACATTCCAACTCAATGTTTTGTTAAGTTGGCTATCTTTGCTTACAAAGCTCAGTTGTCATCAGGAACTGATAAAGGATTTGCTAAAAAAATAAATTGCCTTTACATTTTTCCAATACAAATGTTAACTCCATTAGAGAGGTGTTTTGATGGGTCATCTGAAATGGACAGAGTGCCTTTACTCACAAGTTTCAGAAAAAGGGTCAACGGTTTCACCATTCAAATATATACATGCATGCAATACATACCAATTTTGTTGCTGCTTGAATGCACAACTTCTGTGTCTTCCGCAGTTTGCCGTTTTAGCCTCTGAAGGTATTTATCAGCTAAATATTTAAAAACTGTAAGATAAACAAATATATTTTAATCACTGGCATTTAACTTATACTATTACTATTACTGGAGTGTGTTTGGAAACGGTTTATGTAATCTATGGTGTGACAGAAAGCAAGGAATTGTGCTGGAAGGAACCTATATACCTCCCCAGATTTTGCAAGGTTCTTACTTTGTGTAATTAGCCCCAGGGAAATGTGTTATGTTCTAATGAATGTTGCACTTTAAATATGTGTATATTTGGGCCCTGGGGTGGAGCACCTGGAGAGTAGGGTGGGCCAGTGCTCCACTCCACATTTTGGAAGTTGCTTGGTGAGAAGTCCAGTTCTGGAGTTTGAATCCTAATCTAACTCACCTGAAAAGGATTGTCAATTACCAGTGCTATAAAGTACTCCCCTGCCAAGGAAGAAGGGAGATTGTGTTTGGTTTCTGTGAGTGGAAACAGAGAGCTGAAAACCCTGAAGCAGTAAGGCTGTTTATGTTTATGTTTATGTTGGGTTTATGTTTATGTTTATGTTGGGAAATGGACAAGCCATCCAACCCAGTTAGCTGATTATTTTGTTTAGTTAGTGCTCAGAAGAGCAAGGCTTTTGTTTGATATATTTTTGTTACCTTTATACCTTACTGTGCATTTATTTTGGAACCTCAATAAAAGAGCAAGTCAGTTTACCTCATCCAGCGTGTGAAGTGTCTCTAAAGCCTGAAAAGACTGTGTGTAACACCCCGATCCCAGGACAAGGTACCAAGGGAAAGGAGTACTTTTGTCACAATGGGTATGATGGTTGCTTTGTGAGATTGTATGTGTGCATGTAGTATTGTTTACAGATTGTCTCTGAAGTTGGACTTTTTGTCTTATGCCCTTATACCATGATAATGATGATAATTGCAGAATACTTGTATCTCTCACCTCCAATCTCGTGCTTCTAAGTGAGTCCGATAAGTGCTATGGTAACCTGCCGCTCTAAATCACTAAAAGCCCAGGATCTCAAGGGAGAGGAAAATACATTTTGCATTTTTTAATTCATTACTATAAAATAAAATTTAAAAATCTCCATATGTCGAATGGTTTTTATAAACACATCTAAACTTACCTTCGTTAACATTTAAGTCTTCTTTAACGGAGGTTCGGTAAAAACGCAATTTTAACTTTTTTGCCAATGACTCTGCTTCTTCACTAGAAGGGAAAAAACATAATATTTGTATTTTTTAACAAATAACAAACCAATACACACATGATGCAAACTTGTCCCTTTTGGTGTTGAAATAGTAACTATGGAATACATGTTATAGTATAAATAATTCTACTATAGCATATCACCAGTGTATTAATTTTTTTTTTTAACCCCTTAACGACGCTGGACGGAAATTTTCCGTCAAGGCAGACCTACCCTTAAGGACGCTTGACGGAAAATTTCCGTCAATTACTAAAGTTAACGCCAGATCGCCGCGATCGCGGGGTTAACGCTGTTGCTGGGTGCCTCGGCGTTTGAGGAAGCCCAGCAACAGCCAATAGTGCTGTCCCAGCACGTGTGATCGCTGTGACAGCCAGTCACAGCGATCACAGTGCAGCTGGGACTTCTGATCCTCCTCCCTCCACCTCTGTGTGTGATTAGAAGTGGAGAGAGATGGATCGTTTGAAACTTTGTGTCCCTGACAGACACAAAGTGTTTAAAAGTTTAAAAAAAAACCTTTTACCCCCTTTAACTTTAAAAGTTTAACCCTTTGATCACTGGCAGCAGTGATCACAATACTGATCACAGTACTTTACTGAGATCAGAGGTTTTTTTTTAACCCTCAGGGGTTAACTTTATTTTCTTTTTAACCCTCAGGGGTTAAATATATTTAATTTTTTTTTTTTTTTTACTTTTATTTTCAGTTAATTAGTTAGCTGGGGTGGATTGAAGCTAGGGGGAATTGGGGAATCTAGCATTAGTGTAGCTAGGAAGCTGAAAAGTTTTAGAAAGTTATTAAAAGTTTATAAAAGTTATTAAAAGTTTATAAAAGTATAAAAAAAAGTGAAAAAAGGAAAAAAGAGGAAAAAAAAAGTAGTTTATTTTAAGTCAAAGCATTTCTGCTTCGCTAGGTGTAAGCACGGTGATCTGATTCCTGTTTTTACCCACAGGGGTTCATTTTAAAAAAAGTTTTTAGAAGTTTTAGAAAGTTTTTAAGAGTTTTAAAAAAGCTAAAAAAAGTATTAAAAAAATTCAGAAAACAAAAAAAGTATAAAAAAAGTTAAAAAAACAAAACAAAAAAATACGTTATTTAGTTAAAGTTAATTTTAAGCTTTCACCATGCTTAGAAAGTTTAGTGCCGAGGAGGCATATAATATATTAGCAGACGCCCTCCGTCCTTAAGCGGTTAAGCAATACATCCCAGCCAAAAGATCCCAGTATGGCATCAAGCTATACAAGTTATGTGAAAGTAGCAGTGGGTATGTTTATAACTTCAGAATATATGAAGGTAAAGATAGCCACCGGGATCCCCCAGGTTGCCCTGATGTAGTTGGGACTAGCGGAAAAATAGTTTGGGATCGAATGAACCCGCTACTGAACAAGGGGTACCACCTCTACCTTGATAATTACTACAATAGCATACCCCTCCAAAAAATGCTATATTGTTTTGAGACTGTGGTCTGCGGCACTATCCGCAAGACACGCACTGGCTTCCCCAAGGCTCTGGCAGAGAAAAAAATTAAAAAGGGGGAAACGGCTGCTCTATGCCAGGACGAACTGCTGGCTCTGAAATACAGAGACAAAAAGGAGGTGTTCATACTGACTACCATGCACAGTGAACACACACGCAGGGTCGCAGTTCGTGGCAGACAGGAAACAAGACGGCTGCCTGTCTGCATTAAGCAATACAATAAACACATGGGGGAGTTGACCTGTCTGATCAACTGCTGCAGCCATATCTGATAATGAGAAAGACCAGGGCCTGGTATAAGAAAGTGGGCATTTATTTAATGCAAATGGCTACTCACAATGCATTCATCCTTTTCAAAAAGGCAAATCCCCAGCTGAAATGTACTTTTCTTACATTTCAGTTTCAGCTCATTTCTGTGCTGCTCACTGAGTGCCACAGTGGGGAGCCATCAGCAGGGCCTAGCAGCAGAGATATTCAGACAGGTCACTTCTGCTTTCGGATACCACCAACCCCCAAAAAAAAGACCCCCAGAAAAGGTGCAGGCTGTGTTACCAGAGAGGCATTCGAACGGAGACCAGTTTCTACTGCCCTGATTGTCCCTCTCAGCCTGGCCTTTGTATTGGGAACTGTTTTAAATTATTTCATACTCAGAGCCAATAAATTCTCAATACAAATTTTTTTTTACCTTTTATTTAGTTAATTGGGGTGGATGATAGTTCCTGGGAAATTGGGGAGTTTAGTGCGTATGCTAGGGGTAGAAATACAAATAAAAAAAAAAACAACAAAAAACTAAAATAACATTGTTTTGTTAAAGTTCTTGTGTAAAAAGTTTAAAATGCTTTGGAAGTACAGTTAGAGAATTCTGACAGCGGATTCAGAGGTGACAGACAGTGCCTCAGAGTTTGACCCAAAATGGGACATGGACCCAGCATGCAAATTCAAAGTTTGAAACAAACCTGAAATGGCCGAGTCTCAAATTTGCCCCTTCAACATCCACATATACCTGAGAAAGGTACACACAGGGGTATTGCTGTACTCAGACGACATAGCTGAGTGACATATGAAGCGTTATACTGCCGTAGCACACCTAAGGATTGTAAACTATGCAGTAAAATCTCAAAGTATGTGTCAAAAAGACAAAGAAAATGCTTACTACTACTAGACTTGGTACTCACTAGCGAAAAAATGATCCCACCCTAAGGTTCAAAATGGGCCTTTTGAAATACCCTGGAGTGTCTTCTTTAAAAAATGGTAGGCCTTTGTGGGGGAAGTTTGAATTCTCAACCTGTCAAATGCCCCAAAATGGGACATGGACCCAGCATTAAAATTCAAAGTTTGAAACAGACCTGAAATTGCCGAGTCTCAAATTTGCCCCTCCAACATCCACATATACCTGGGAAAGGTACACACAGGGGTATTGCTGTACTCAGACGACATAGCTGAGTGACATATGAAGCGTTATACTGCTGTAGCACACCTAAGGATTGTAAACTATGCAGTAAAATCTCAGTGTGTGTGTCAAAAAGGCAGAGAAAATGCTTACTACTACTAGACTTGGTACTCACTAGCGAAAAAATGATTCCACCCTAAGGTTCAAAATGGGCCTTTTGAAATACCCTGGGGTGTCTACTTTAAAAAATGGTAGGCCTTTGTGGGGAAAGTTTGAATAAGCAACCTGCTATTAGAACCCAAAATGAGTCATAAACCTATAAAATTCTGTAAAAACTGAAATGGTCAGGTCTCCTATATGGCAGTGTAGCATCAGGAAATACGACTAAAGGCATACATTGGGGGTATCGTTTTTCTCACAGGAGATAGCTCAGCATAATTAGGGGTGTTTGATCATATTGGAACATATCAAATATACAAAATGCCCAGCACAAATGTAACGCATAAGTTAAAAATGCAAAAAATATTTTTTTACCACAACCTTTGACATATCATGGTGAAAAAATGGCGACATGTTAAGGCACAATATATGCCATGTGAGATACTCTGGAGTGTCTACTTTCACAAATGGTAGGCCTTTTTGCGGTTTTTGAAACAGTCAAACTGCTATAATGGCCCAAATTGAAACATAAGCCCTGCAAATCCGTCTCTCAAAATTCTACTCTAAAAACTGAAATGGTCAGGTCTCCTTTATGGTACTGTAGCATCACCAAATAGTGTCAAAGACATACATTGGGGGTATTGTTTTACTCAGAAGACTTAGCTGAGCATAATTAGGGGTGTTTGATCATAGTGGAACATATCAAATATACAAAATGCCCAGCACAAATGTAATGCTTAAGGAAAAAATTTGAAAATATTTTTTTACCACAAACTTTGACATATAATGGCGAAAAAATGGCGACATGTTAAGGCACAATATATGCCATATGAGATACCCTGGAGTGTCTACTTTCACAAATGGTAGGCCTTTTTGCGGTTTTTGAAACTGTCAAACTGCTATAATGGCCCAAACTGAAACATAAGCCCTGCAAATCCGTCACTCAAAATTCTACTCTAAAAAATGAAATGGTCAGGTCTCCTTTATGGCACTGTAGCGTCACCAAATAGTGTCAAAGACATACATTGGGGGTATTGTTTTACTCAGAAGACTTAGCTGAGCATAATTAGGGGTGTTTGATCATAGTGGAACATATCAAATATACAAAATGCCCAGCACAAATGTAATGCTTAAGGAAAAAATGCGGAAAATATTTTTTAACACAAATTTTGACATATAATGGTGAACCGTTAAGGCAAAATATATGCCATATGAGATACCATGGAGTGTCTACTTTCACGAATGGAAGGCCTTTGTGTGGTCATTTGAACAACCAAACTACTATAATGCCCAAAAATAAGACACAGGTCCATTAAATCCATCTTTGAATTTTCTAACTGTAGAAACTGAAATAGTCTGGCCTCTTATATTTCATTGTAGCTTCCCAAAATAGTGGCAAAGACATACAATGGGGGTATTGTTGTACAGATGTTGCTGAACACAAAATGGGATTTTGACCAGGAATAGCACACAGCAGCTTTACAAAATACACATTTAAAAACCTTGTTACATGTGTGTATTTCAAAAAACAGAAAAAACACAATTTTACTACAATATGTAGCAGAGATTGGTGGGAAAAAGGCTATGTAAAAAGTGTCAAAATACCCTTAAATAAATAGCCTGTGATGTCTTCTTTATTTAAATATATACTTTTGTGTAGCAATTTTGTTTTCTGTGACAGCTGTCAAACTTACAAGTCAAACATACCAACTTCTAAAAAATTTTCACATTTAAATTTTATATTACTCCTTGTATTTTGTGACCTGTAACTTTTAAAATAAGCTGAAATCCTTTACATATTATGCACTTTGAAAAACAAGAAACCTAAATGAATTTATTTTGAATTACTTTTCCTAAGCTGGACATATTATACACACACTATTATTGCCAAAACTGTGAAAAAAAAATAAAAAAAATATATATATATATATATATATATATATATATTTTCCTTTTTTAAATGTTTTTTAATAATAAATTAGATTTTATATATGTATAAGTCACATCAAAGTAAAGCCCATCTTGTCCTTTAAAAAACGATATATAACATGTGTTGATTCAATAAATGAGAGCGATGCAAATTGCAGTTGAACACAAACAGCAAAAAATGCAAAAATAGCTTGAGTCCTTAAGGGTATGTCCAGCTTCTGAAGCTGCGTCCTTAAGGGGTTAAATACACCTGCAATAGGAAATAAATAAATAAAAACAAAACAGTATAATTCCACTGTAGAATATGTTGTCTGTTTTATAAACAATATTAGTAGTAGTTATACATTAGGAAGATGCTTTAAACACAATTACTGGCAAAAGTCAACTTACTTCTTAATATCCGTGTCATCAAGCAGGTCAATTTTATTCTGAACAAGAACTGTGGGAATATCACCAACTTCTGCTACCACTTGTTCTCTCCAACTGGCTATGGCTTCAAAGGACTCCCGATCAGTTGTGGAAAACACAAGCACACAAGCCTGGGCACCTAATAATTACATATAATACACAGCCTGATGAATGTTTTGTAGTTTAAGTGCTAGATCTTTAAAATGCATGGCTTAGCATGCTGTAGATAAGAATTAAAGGAGCTCCACAGTGTTAGGAATACAAAATGGTGATCCTAACACTATAGGGCCCTCTGTGACCCCCATTCCTCGTAACCTCCCTTCCCCCCAATGACAGCAGAAAAGAATTATTTTGTATATATATATATTACATACAAAATCCAGCACCCTCACTCATTCACCCAACAGCAATTTCAAGTCTCACAGAATATGATCGTTTTATTTAAAAACACCACCCCTAGGCAAAATATAATGGGAGTATAGTTACAGTACATGATCATACATTGCATAAACCTGCCACAACGTCAATGTACCCCATTCTTGGTAGGTCCTATTCTAACAACCTCATGTCTGCTTTTATGAGATTAATTCACTTACTTTGGGGGAAAAAAAATCCATCTGGGGCTCTCTGCAGTCCAAGGTTAAATAGAGCCTGGAATGAGGCACCTGTGACAGGGAGGGGTGCAAAACCAAGGAGTTGGCCTGAACTCCCAAATATATAAAAGAAACCAAGAGGGCTGCACTCACCTGAACATGCATACTTATAAGGGTGCCGCTGGGGCAAATTCATACAACATACAAAATCCAGCGGCAAGTCCAGGCCAACTCCCTGGTTTTGCACCCCTGCCTGCTCTTAGAGAGTGACACATATGTAAGATTTGTCAGCCTAGTCATCTCATCTGAGCTCCCCCTCCCAGGTCAGTGACCCACTTAGCAACATAGGGGATGTCTTTCAAATCTAATACTGATGTAAGAGAATTGGATAGTATAGTGTCATAACCGTGGGTTGCTTTTTTTAAGATAAAGCTAATCAAATGTTGTAGGGTGGTGCTGAGCTGCGATACAGACCCTAGATGTTAGGGCAAAACTGCGCAATTGGAGAAAACAGAAATCTTCAAAAGTAACCAACATGCCAATAGAAAATAGGTACATATATCTTGAAAACACAGAGTTCCTTAAAACGGGGTAAATAGGAAAGTCGTAAGCTCAGATTTCTTAGTTCAACTATCCCAAATATGTAATGAGTTAAGAATAAAGGGGTAGGAAGTAGAGATTGGGAGTTGAAAGGATTTGGAAGCCAAATAAAAAATTGTGGGAGATCTGGATCACAAAGGTCTGATTCCAGGTCAACAAGATGCCAGCCCTGAATCTAAGCCAGTTGTGTCGCAATAGAATAGAAAGTAAAGCTAGGCAAACCCAGACCACCTAACAATTTAGGATTGAACAGAACAGAGCGGGCAACTCTATACTGCCGACCTATAGCTAACTGAAGGGATTTGAATCCGCAGTACAGAGTGGTTTCGGAAACCCTTGAAACAAATTGAGAAGTCTGAGATCTGAGATGGAGGGTCATCTTCACACTGTGTATTCAAGTCTCTGTTTAGTCTAGCAATCATCAGGGTGTAGTTTGTGGAATATAGTTGTGAGAGTGTGGCAGTATTTGAATATCTAAGTAGAGTATAGCAGTAGGGGTGAATAGAAAGCCACATGTCTCAGTCACATATTGTGGTATGACATGAGGGATGTGGATGGACTATGCCAATTATTTATAAAAATACATTTTATAGCCAGCCAAAGATGAAAAGTATTGCAGTACTGAGAATGAAGTATGTAAGGAAGAGTCTGGATTAGTGAGGGTGAGCATCACATCCACATATATCAAGAGTTTATACGCTCCATAAATGATAACAATACCCGTAATGGAGGGAGTGGAACTTATCTTAGTGATTAGATGTTCTTAGAATAAGGAAAATAAAAGAGGGACTCCTGTCTGGTACCATTGCCAATAGGAAAGGCGGGGAGGGGAGATATACGGGAGAAGGAGTCAGATGTCTCCACGCACACAAGGCTTGCATGCCAATTATGATACCAACCTGGTCCAGGTGAATAAAATAATTAATATTTTTGAGTAACACATTACCACTGTAAAATAGATTTCTGTTGCTACATTGTGTGACAGAAGTTCCCATGTCATGGTCTTTTGGAGGGGCTTGAAGGGCAGCCTCTTATTTACAGATTATAGACCTGGTCCCAAAAGACCCTAAAGGGGCTTGTGATGGTAGCAATTGAAAAACAAACTACGCATTGTTAGTTTGAGAACTCTGCAGCGCCCTCTGGTTACTGAATAGAGATGTGTATATTTACATAATGCTGGTGTGAAAATTAGGGCAACCAGATAAGTAGCTAAATTAATATATAGTTTTTTTTTATTGCGTTAAATTGTTACTTGTATTATATAAATTACGTATTAATTCGAATTGTTCGTTCTACAATGTTCGGTATATTTGTATTTTAAACGCCTTTCACCACATGTTTAAAGACAAGTAAAAGTTCAAAATAAAGGGGGGGTGGAGCTTGCAAACCTGGTGAGCAGACGCCATTTCTAAGAGCTCCCAAACACTCGACTAAATCCAACCAAATATCAAGAAAACTGTAACCCATCCGACCTCCTTACCATTCCAGCGGGTCCCCCAGAGCCACAACGCCTTTCTTCCTCACTCCGAAATACTCTAAACCGCAGCGCAAATCTGCGGCCTACTGCACACCCCTGAGCCTGGGACTGGAGGCACTCGTACGTGACAACACCACGCTAACACAGCCAGAGTGCCGGACCGCAATGGGACGTCGCTTCCAAAAGCCGACCACCGCGGCTGACAGCAGAGACATTGGGGACATGCTGAGGCAGCCTGCACAGCCCAAGCTGACTACGGCAGAGGACCGGAATGATGAGAACCAGGCGCAGGACAGACAAGGAGCCACACCAACCACCCAGGCAAGCCTGCTGCACACAATTGCAATCCCGGATGGGACAGCTCCCACAACTAAGCAGGACTTGAAAATCCTGCTTACCGATATCCAGCAAGTATGGACTGCTGACCTCAGAGTACTGAGAACTGACATACATGCCATAACTGACAAGGTACAAGCCTCCGAAAAGGACATACTTAATGCCAGAACTGACATCTCAGCCCTTAAAGAGACCGTACAACAACTGCAAACCACCCATGTCACACCAAATCTCAGCTCTGGAAGACAAATAGCGCAGGAACCACATTAAAATACATGGCATCCCTGCTGCCATGACAGCAGAGGAACTCCCACATATTGGGGTCAGTCACCTCTCAACTAAGATCCGCAGCCATACCCTACCGCTGGGGAACCCCAGGAACTCTTGTGGTAACCCACAATGGAACAAATCATACACTCACGTCGATCGAGGGGGCACCGGCCTTCCTACAAGCACTGGAATTAGCAGACAGCCATCAGGACCCAAAGTCAACCACCCCAATGGACACTTGGGATCCTACCCGCATCACCCCCTTCGTACCGAGAGCGGAAGGCTCACAGGCAGCTGAAACCTGACAAAACTTGGGGACTGGGCCAACAAATACGGCCAGGGCCGGACTGGGGATACAAAGCAGCCCTGGAAAAAAAAAATCTACGCCAGCCCCATAAGTCATTGCGCCATATATTGCCATATGTAATATGTAAGGCAATGTCTTGCCACCCCAGATGGTTGAGTAATATATGTATATATATTGCTTATTCTAATATATAATATTGGTCCTTTCAGAGTAAAACGTTTAATTATACATTAAGCATACTCACATGCAGACACAGACAATTTCACTGACACACACAAGCTCATTGATACACAGCCTCATAGACAAACAATGTCACTGATATACATAAGCTCATTGGCATAAAACACAAGCTCACTCACTCACTATCAGGCACACACGGAAGCAAGCTCACTCACTAGCAGGCGCGCGCGCACACACACACACACAGCTTAATGTAGTGGCTCTGGTGTCTATAGCCTGTCCCTGCAGGCTTTTCAATGTAAACACTGACTTTTCCGAGAAATGGCAGTGTTTACATTGCTTCCTAGTGACACCTCTAGTGACAGTCACTCAGACAGTCACTAGAGGTGCTTCCTGTGTCACTGCTGCACAGTGGCAGAGCATTGGATTGGCTGAGATCATCAGCTTGATAGAGGCAGGGCCAGTCGAGGGGAGACAAAAAAAAGTGAGTAAAACACTTTTTAAATACACACAGACACACACATACACTATGACACAGACACACAAACACACACCATGACACAGACACAAACACACACACCATGCGCGCAGCTTAATGAGACCGGGGCCGGTGTTCTATCAAATTCCCCTACCTCGTGAAAATCCCCTATCCTCGTCACTTCCGGTGAGGGGAATCAGCTGGATCCTGTGCTGCACATGCGTGCTAACACTTCTGCTACTCCTCCACAGCAAGGTCCTGGAAGGTAAGTAAAACTAGTTTTACACTTTCATTATAGTTAGTGCATTCACTAAGCTTAGGCACACGGGACATTTAGGGTTAAGTGAGGGTTTAAATTAGGGTTAGGTAAGTGATTCTAACCTCTCTCTCACTCTATTCTTACCCTAACCCTTGGGGCAAAGGTTAAAATAAAGTGTGAAAAATCACTATTTAGTGATATTCCCCTAATGTGAAATATCACTAAATACACACAAGTGCCTAATCCTAACCCTAATTTGAACCCTAACATTAACCCTAAATGTCCCATGTCCTAAGCTTAGTGAATGTACTAACTATAAAACTAGTGTAAAACTAGTTGTACTTACCTTCCAGGACCTTGCTGTGGAGGAGTAGCAGGAGTGCTAGCACGCATGTGCAGCACAGGATCCAGCTGATTCCCCTCACCGGAAGGGACGAGGGTAGGCCCCGTCATATTCCGGCCCCGGTCTCATTAAGCTGCGCGCTGGAGAGCAGAGACAGAACAGTCAGCTTCCCCACCGGCCGCCAGCAGGTGTCTGCCCGGCCCCAGGTGCCGACGGCCCACCGGGAAATTTCCAGGTATCCCGGTGAGCCAGTCGGGCCCTGAATACGGCCATAGCACTTGAGCAGCAGCCCCTGGGGCAAACTCAACAAGACGCTGTTATATCGGTTTTGCTTTAAGTTGCATTTGTATATTTGGTTGTTTTTTCGTTCTTTGATCTCTCCCACACGTGTTCAAGTTACCACCCAACATGAGCGCTAGAATCCGCAGAGACATGAGTCTCAACGCATACTACCACATCACCCATCCCCTCTGCCCCCTTGGTCAGGGGTATCACATAGCGATGAGGAAGCACATCACCCCTTACGCATTATGGTTGAGCACCTACTGAATCCCACCCACGCATTCCAACAACTCGATCATTAGGCAAACGACATCTCACACACCAGGGGAACTCACATCTCGTTACAGGCATTCACAAGATATGTTTAGGTATTTGTGCATTTTGAGAGTATTCCCATTAAGCTCTTTTCTACTATCCTCTATGTAACTTTAGTTTAGTCACTATCTGGAGATTTCCTTTTTTTGGTACAGTATTCCTATTATAACTAATTGAATAAAAGTTTAATTTTAGGTAGTTCTCTCGTCTCCCATATTTCTCAGACCTTGTACTAGTTGAATCCTTTTTTTTTTTTTGCACTTGCTTTTTAGGTTAGGGTTACCCTCTCATTTATTGGGAGATCAGGTTAGGTAAACCTATTAGAACAAAAATGGAGGAACAAGGGCTGCGCCAAGTAAGATAATGGTGGTGAGACAATGTCTAGAATAAAGGATAAAACGGCAAAAAGGTAGAACAATGTTCAAATTTCCACAACGTAAGAAGATAGGAATAGTCCAGATGTGACGACCTCGCTTTGGTCTAAAGTGCTTATTGCAGAGGGTGTGTCCTCACGTGGCTGTACCGTAATTTCGTTTATATGAAAGACAGAGGAGAGAGGCAACCAATAGTGCAATATGTCTGGTGCAGACTCCATGGCTGGCAGCATAGAGGACTTTGGATAAATCGAGAGCGTGTGCATGTGCACACTAGTGGCTCAAAAAAAGAAGCCCTATAGTTAAATTCCATGGAACAGACTGAACGTTTAGGGAAAATGGAGGCAAACCTGCAGCTTTTGCAAGCTGTTTTTAGATATGCAGCAATAAATGCATGAATGTTTTCACTGGTGGCACATCTACTGAATTGTGCAAATCCATTGGCTTGTTCTTTTAATCATAACCACTTAATCATATAGGGGAAAAACATTGTGCAAGAGAGTTTCCCTTTAATAATAAACCACATAAAGAAAGTGTCATTATAAACGCAATATACAATCTCACATGGATTGTAAATTAACACAGAACAGAGCCCTCAACCTCTCCTGTATTTGACAAATTCTGAATGGTCTCTTATATGTAATGTACCATTGACCTTTTATTTGTAACAATGGACAGCACTGCAGAATGTTTTGGGGCTTTAAAAATAAAGTATGAATAATTTGCTAAGAGGGCTGAATTGTATACTGAACTAGGAATGGCGCGATGGGAGTTCTGGTCAGTTGGGGAGATCTTATCCATGGTGACTCTGGGCTGGATTCATTAGAGCAGTTGACCAAAGATGGCCCATTGGCACCATGTTTGACAACTGATATTTATTATATGAGCACTTTTCTGTTGTTGTGGTGATCAGAAATATAGTTCTTGATACTATTTTGTTTTATGTGATTGTTTTGTTTTTCTTCCATTGCTTTTTTTTTTTTTTTAATAAAAAGAAATTTGATCTGTAACCTTTTATTAAAGATATGGTATCCATCTGCGGGTGTTTAGTACCCTTATGTGGGGTGTAGTGCCCCTACTATGTTGTGTAATTGTGATTGTTATCTGTGTGTGTTGTGTTTTCGTTACAGCACTTACAAATAGTGATTGAGTATCCAAACAGTGAGACGCACAGGTCTCCAATATAGATGAGTGCTGTTAATACTATGACGTTGCACATATTGGACTCGCAGGTCCGCAATAATAAAACATAACTTTTTTTGTCTCGTAATCCATGAATTACAGGGAGTGCAGAATTATTAGGCAAGTTGTATTTTTGAGGATTAATTTTATTATTAAACAACAACCATGTTCTCAATGAACCCAAAAAACTCATTAATATCAAAGCTGAATATTTTTGGAAGTAGTTTTTAGTTTGTTTTTAGTTATAGCTATGTTAGGGGGATATCTGTGTGTGCAGGTGACTATTACTGTGCATAATTATTAGGCAACTTAACAAAAAACAAATATATACCCATTTCAATTATTTATTATTACCAGTGAAACCAATATAACATCTCAACATTCACAAATATACATTTCTGACATTCAAAACAAAACAAAAACAAATCAGTGACCAATATAGCCACCTTTCTTTGCAAGGACACTCAAAAGCCTGCCATCCATGGATTCTGTCAGTGTTTTGATCTGTTCACCATCAACATTGCGTGCAGCAGCAACCACAGCCTCCCAGACACTGTTCAGAGAGGTGTACTGTTTTCCCTCCTTGTAAATCTCACATTTGATGATGGACCACAGGTTCTCAATGGGGTTCAGATCAGGTGAACAAGGAGGCCATGTCATTAGATTTTCTTCTTTTATACCCTTTCTTGCCAGCCACGCTGTGGAGTACTTGGACGCGTGTGATGGAGCATTGTCCTGCATGAAAATCATGTTTTTCTTGAAGGATGCAGACTTCTTCCTGTACCACTGCTTGAAGAAGGTGTCTTCCAGGAACTGGCAGTAGGACTGGGAGTTGAGCTTGACTCCATCCTCAACCCGAAAAGGCCCCACAAGCTCATCTTTGATGATACCAGCCCAAACCAGTACTCCACCTCCACCTTGCTGGCGTCTGAGTCGGACTGGAGCTCTCTGCCCTTTACCAATCCAGCCACGGGCCCATCCATCTGGCCCATCAAGACTCACTCTCATTTCATCAGTCCATAAAACCTTAGAAAAATCAGTCTTGAGATATTTCTTGGCCCAGTCTTGACGTTTCAGCTTGTGTGTCTTGTTCAGTGGTGGTCGTCTTTCAGCCTTTCTTACCTTGGCCATGTCTCTGAGTATTGCACACCTTGTGCTTTTGGGCACTCCAGTGATGTTGCAGCTCTGAAATATGGCCAAACTGGTGGCAAGTGGCATCGTGGCAGCTGCACGCTTGACTTTTCTCAGTTCATGGGCAGTTATTTTGCGCCTTGGTTTTTCCACACGCTTCTTGCGACCCTGTTGACTATTTTGAATGAAACGCTTGATTGTTCGATGATCACGCTTCAGAAGCTTTGCAATTTTAAGAGTGCTGCATCCCTCTGCAAGATATCTCACTATTTTTGACTTTTCTGAGCCTGTCAAGTCCTTCTTTTGACCCATTTTGCCAAAGGAAAGGAAGTTGCCTAATAATTATGCACACCTGATATAGGGTGTTGATGTCATTAGACCACACCCCTTCTCATTACAGAGATGCACATCACCTAATATGCTTAATTGGTAGTAGGCTTTCGAGCCTATACAGCTTGGAGTAAGACAACATGCATAAAGAGGATGATGTGGTCAAAATACTCATTTGCCTAATAATTCTGCACTCCCTGTATACTAAAGATAAGGTAACCATTAGGGATCAATCAATATTGATTTTTTTAGAGCAGATACCGATACGATATTCTGTGAACTTTCAGGCCGATAGCCGATAACTTACAGATATTCTGTATATTTACCATTTTGAAAAAACTAAACTATTTCTAAAGGTAAATGCACACAATATACATGCCATGTGTAGTGGATGCAGTGTGTTTAGACAGGGGAGCTGTGTGTGTTTGTGTAGTGTGTAGGGGATGCTGTGTGTATTTGTGTAGTGTGTGTGTAGTGGATGCAGTGTGTATTTGTGTAGTGTGTAGGGGATGCTGTGTGTATTTGTGTAGTGTGTAGGGGATGCTGTGTGTATTTGTGTAGTGTGTGTGTAGTGGATGCAGTGTGTATTTGTGTAGTGTGTAAATAATGAATGCAGAGTGTTTGTGTAGTGTGTATAGTGAATGTAGTGTGTGGGTAGTGTGCGCAAAGTGAATGCAGTGTGTGTGTAAAGTGAATGCTGTATATACTAAATGCAAAGTGTGTGTATTTGTGTAGTGTGTGTATAGTGAATGCAGTGTGTTTATTTGTATAGTGTGTGTGTATATAATGCAGTGTGTTTGTGTAGTGTGCATTATATAAACACACTGCATTATATACACACACACACTACACAAACACACTGCATTATATACAGTGTGTTTGTGCAGTGTGTTTATATAACGCAGTGTGTTTGTGTAGTGTGCATTTTATAAACACACTGCATTATATACACAGTGTATTTATGTAGTGTGTGTATATAAAGCAGTGTGTTTGTGGAGTGTGCATTATATAAACACACTGCACAAACACACTGCATTATATACACACTACACAAACACACTGCATTATATACACAGTGTGTTTGCATAGTGTGTTTATATAATGCAGTGTGTTTGTGTAGTGTGCAGTATATAAACACACCGACAAACACACCGCATTATATAAACCCTTTGCATTATATACAGTGTGTTTGTGTAGTGTGTGTATATAATGCAGTGTTTGTATAGTGTGCGTATATAATGCAGTGTTTGTATAGTGCGCATTATATACACACTAAACCAACACACTGCATTATATACACACACTACACAAACACTGCATTATATAAACACACTGCATTATATACACAGTGTGTGTGTAGTGTGTTTATATAATGCAGTGTTTGTGTAGTGTATGTTTATATAATGGAGTGTGTTTGTGTATGTATTTAATTGAGGGGGCATTTTTTATTAAAAGACCACTATAGGGGGGGGGCGTGGCTAACCGCCGAGCTTAATGGTCGCTTGAACCCGAGCTCCGGCTACTGAGGCCGACAATCCATCACAATCCGACTGCTTAGGACCTGCAAATTGCCACAAGATAGGATGGCACAAACTAAATCAAAGAAAACTGCTGCAAAAAGCGAAAAATTAAATTTTTTTAACAACAGACTACAACCAGATGCCACGGAGCAGATGCGGCCCTCGCAAGATGGCGGCACCAGCCCGAATCCGCGAGATCCACAACAAGACACAGAACTGGCTACACAAACCGACCAACTCACCAAAAGCTACCTGCAAGTAGCGCTTGACAACCTATCCCAGAAATTAATCATGTCCTGGCAACATTCCATGGACTCACTGCGAAGGGATGTACAAGAGATAAACAAACGGACAACACACGTCGAGTCCAAAATGGATGCTTTTGCTGTAGCACATAACGATCTTGCGAGTCACGTAGAGCATATGGAGCAACAACTTAAAATGACTGAAGTGAAACTAGCGGACCTTGAAGATCGTTCCAGAAGGAACAACCTGCGGCTGCGGGGAGTCCCGGAATCGATCGGGCCAGAAGATTTGCAGGCATTCGTAAGAGGCCTCGCTAAGGCCTATGCACCTGATATACCGGGGGAGATGCTGCTTCTGGACCGGGTTCACAGACTCCCAAAACCAAGGTACCTGCCAGAAACTGTGCCAAGAGATGTACTCACGCGAGTGCATTATTACCATATAAAGGAGCTAATACTGCGATCAAGCAGGAATAAATCTGCTCCACATCCCGACTACCCCTCAGTAAAAATATTCGCAGATCTATCTGCTACTACACTGAAAAAAAGAAAGGATCTTTCCCACATAGCGGACAGCTTAAGAACAAATGGCATGAGATTTCGATGGGGGTACCCTACAAAAATGATCATCTCCCGAGAGGGCAAACTACATACTATCTCCTCACCAGAAGACGGAGTGAAACTCCTACAAACCTGGGGTATTACGTGCAAAGCAACAGAGAAAGGGGACATGTCCTCCCGCCGACTACAGGTAGAATGGAACAAGATACCAGCACACCGAGCTGACTAAAACCATTGCTAAAGGGAGAAGATGACCTGTAAACTAAATTAACATACACCACCTAGGCATTCGATGTGCCTTAAACCTCTGGAAGGAACCCCAAAAACTCTGACTTTATACAACATGACTCAGAACAGTGAATATGATTAATGGAAACTATCACCCACGAGACACGACGACACGGATACTACAGTGACCTCAAGAACGCCTGGGGCTTCAGACGCATAAAAGAACGATCCCTCCTTGCAAACACAGAGAACAAATTCACAGATGAGATCAGGAAAGCACTGGGACATTGAAGAACTCATAGTTGCAGTCTTTGCTTGCTTGAGGGTTCAGGTACCACACGAACATGTGCACTGACATAAGGGATACAACCTCCGTATCCCATGATATTCAATTAACCCAGTGCTTACCCTTTGCCCCCACATAACTACTTTTACAAGGAAATGCTGTCTGCAGCATCATTCCGAATTTCATATAGATCATAGCTTAATACAATACAAGATAGGAGTCCTTAGTTATCCAACAGGGGACAAAAGGGTAAGGCGGGGCGTTTGACAACTGCTAATTAATCACTCTGCTCACGGTATTAGCGACATGCGAGCAGGCAATATCCGGACACTGAAATGCTCAAAAAAAAAAAAATACCCCACATACGAACACATGTCTATTACCCCCTATTATTGAACACATCAGTACAAGGTATATTGAAGCCGAGATAGGGAGTACCTGAATTGTAAAAGTATAAGCTATACTGAGCAACCAATGGAGCTAAATCTATTCCCCATGGTGATAGATGCTAAGGGTTACTTGTTAATTGTCAACTGTAGAAATGTATTAATATGTTTAGAATTTTTGCTGCATCGGGTTATTGCAGAGTTACCCACGACGGGTAAGGGGTCCCCCCCCAGAGAACACACTAAAACTAACATGGGTCACCACCCACAGAACCAGGTCCTATGCTATATATACAGAATGTTAAGGCCGTTAGCCACCCACACAGATATTTTGATATCTACCCCCCATGGCTCCGCAGATGGGCGCCATGACCCCTCATGGGGTAAGTTATAATGAACCAAGTTACACCCATCCCAACCACCCGCAACATACCTATCCTTCCCGTACTCCTAGTGCATATGACGCTACAAAAGCTCCCCTACTATGTGACACACACCTACAAAAGCCACTTCTGCTAAACAGGTGGGTTAAGACAATACAGACAAGACATCACACAGACTATACGGAAATAAGGTCAAGACAACCTGAGTGGCCTGTACGCAACATCTTCTCATTCACAAATGAGTGTGACAATACAATCTCATAATGTAAGGGGCCTTAACACCCCGCATAAACGGAGAGTACTTTTAGAAACAGCGAAACGCAATCATATAGATATCCTATGCATACAAGAGACGCACTTTAAACATCATAAAGTCCCAGATTTTGGCACAAGAGACTTTCCCACCCAATTTCATGCGACTCACTCCTCCAAATCCAGGGGAGTATCTTTCCTTTTTCATAAATCTCTCACGTTTGAACTGTTGCAACTCAAAAGAGACACACAAGGCCGATATCTTATAATCTATTGTACTATTAATACTATTAAATACACATTAGTAGGGATCTATAGCCCAAATGTTAACCAAAAGAATTTTTTGCTTAAAGTCCTTAACAAAATTCCAATCAGACAAAAAACCTCAATGCTGGTATGTGGAGACATGAATCATGTTCTACACCCGGTAGCAGACACATCTCTCGCCCAGGGCGCCCCCAGGTCAAAACTCCTCGCACAACAATGCAAAACATTAAACAAAGCAATCCTAGAACACAATCTATACGATATATGGAGAATACAACACCCGACTGAAAGAGGTTACTCATATTTCTCCCACATTCACAAAACCCACTCTAGAATAGACATGATTCTCGTTACTGCAGACATCTTACCAAAAATGACAAACAGTGAGATTGGGGACATAGTGTGGTCTGACCATGCTCCAGTGTCAGTCAGGTTGCAAACTAACTTTGACCACAAAGGGAAACCCCCGTGGCGATTAAATGACGCCCTAATCATGCATAAAGACTTCCGCACTCAACTAAGTCACGACATGCGTGAATATTTCCAAAATAATACTTTACCAGAACTGGAACCCACAACCACCTGGCAAGCTCATAAAGCAGTCGTCAGAGGGATCTTAATCAGTAGAGCGGCATATATAAAAAGAACTAAGGAACAAAAATATCTGGATTCATTAAAAACACTAAGGGACTTACAAAAAGCCCACTACCTAACCCCTACAGCAGACTTGGCTCAGGATATAATATCTATCACAAAAAACATAAATGAGCTACTCCTAGACGAAACAGCACATATGCTACAGAGACTGAAAATACGCTCTTACACTCAAGGCAATAGAGCCGGCAAGGCTTTGGCATCGCTCTTAAGACAGAAACAAGCCCAAACAAAAATCCCATACCTACATAATAAAGTAGGAAGAAAACTGCATGATCCACGGGAGATCCTAACAGAGATGGCCAACTTTTACGAAACACTATACAACATAAAGCGAGACCCCCAGACATACCAACCATCCGTACACGACATCCAAAACTTCTTATCTAATATCTCTCTGCCTAGCTTAACAGTAGACCAAAATAAAAGGCTTTGCGACCCTGTCACATTGTCTGAAATCCTACGAATAATCAAATCACTTCCCCCAGGCAAATCACCGGGCCCGGACGGTCTTACTAATTCTTATTATAAAACATTTAGCCACATTGTAGGACCACATTTAGTAGACACATTTAACCACATAATTTCCACGGGCAAGATGCCACAGGATATGCTGATGGCACATATAGTTACTCTGCCGAAGCCAGGCAAGCCCCCAACTAAACCCCAAAACCTACGGCCCATATCCCTCTTAAATACAGATACCAAAATCCTAGCCAAACTACATGCCACAAGAATAGCAGATATGCTACCTACAATAATCAAACAAGATCAAGTGGGGTTCGTTAAAGGTAGACAAGGGGCCGAAGGCACAAGAAAGCTATACAATTTACTTTACGCAAAGCAACGGCGGGGAGAACCCAGTGTATTCCTGTCACTCGACGCTGAAAAAGCGTTTGACAGGTTGCACTGGGGCTTCCTGCAAGAAACACTTCGGAAATTTAAGTTTCCACAACCATTTTTAAATCTAATAACGGCATTATATTCCAAACCCTCTGCTAGAGTGACAAATGGAGGTTTCGCATCACAAACCTTTTTTATAACCAATGGGACTAGGCAGGGTTGCCCACTGTCACCACTCCTTTATATCATAGCACTGGAGCCGCTGCTACAGACTATTAGAGACGAACCACAAATCACGGGCATAGCAAGAGGAGGAAGGGAATACAAACTAACAGCATTTGCTGATGATGTGATGCTATCACTGACTAACCCACAACTCTCCATTCCAACCTTTAATACTTTACTAAAAGCATACAGCGACTGTTCATATTACAGGCTCAATGCGACTAAGACACAAGCAATGAGCCTATTCACGACACCGGAGACAAACAGTATCCTACAACAAACCACGGCCTTTGAATGGAGAAAAGATTACCTTACTTTCCTTGGTATAAAATTCACAACTCACACACACAAATTGCTCCAAGCCAATTATAACACACTTCTCCACTCTATCAACACCCAACTTAAAGGCTGGGAAAACAAATATATCTCATGGACTGGGAGAGTAGCCGCCGTCAAGATGATGGTTCTTCCCAAGCTCCAATATTTATTCCGCACCCTCCCCATACAGTTACCTGCAGCATACATTAAAGACGCACAGAAAACAATTAACGCCTTTGTCTGGGCAAAAAAACGGCCCAGGGTTGCAGCACATATACTTTACCTACCGCAAAAAATGGGGGGAATGGGCCTCCCAAACTTAGATCTATATTATAAAGCGGCGATAGTTGGCACACTAGTGGCTGTACTCCGCTCTTATTCCATGCCTCCGGCGTGGGTACACTTGGAAGCATCACACACAGAGGGATACGACATTGCAACACTAGCGGGAATAAGTGAAACTCACAGAAAAAAGTTTCGAGACATTTCCCCTATAACGTCCTTAACACTGAAAGAATGGGATAAATATACAAAATTCTTGAATCTTGACACGAAGCTACCACCAACAATGCTCCTACGCTCTTTTGAAGCACTGATCCCACAACTAAATATTAGAAAATGGTCCACTGCAGGCTTAACACATTTACACCAACTCATGGATAATGATAAATACATAGCCTTTACTTCACTACAAAAAGAGTTCCAACTACCACCTGCAGCGGAGTTCGCACATAGACAGATAATATCGTGGATAGGAAGAAATAGAGGGTCACCATACACCGCAGAAACAAAGAGAAATATGGAGGCACTACGACAACTGTGCACTAACTCTAATAAAACAGCTGGTATCCTCTCCAAAGTATATAGCAGTTATTTACCCATAAAAAAGATAAGAGACCTGACCTTTATTAAAAACTGGGAATATGACATAGGGAAACAATTACCAGACGAAAACTGGCGTAAAAGTTTCATGGCCCATAAACACCTAACACTATCCACAGCCCAGATAGAAATGTCGAGAAAAATGCTGTACAGATGGCATATGGTACCCACCAAGCTGAAACACATTGACCCGAAACATACGGGGGCGTGTTGGAGATGTGGTGACGCCACAGGGGATGTCATACATATTTGGTGGACATGCCCTGTCATTACAAAACTATGGAGATCAGTACATTCCCTTGTGCAACAAATAGGAAAGATGGACGTGGCATTCATGCCTGAGATATTCCTTCTGCAACATATGCCACAAGGCCTCTTAAAATCCCAACAATACCTACTTTTCCATGTAACCATAGCGGTGATAACAGCTATGGCCAAGGCGTGGCTTCAAAAGGACCCCCCACTATTAGACACAATAGCCTCACATCTAGATAATATTAGACTTTATGAATGTACGGTGCGAGCACACAGGGCGCCACAAAAGTTTTGGATAGACGCATGGCAAATGTGGGACGCATATAGGCACCCTAAAAAACAAGGTGGAATATAGACATGGAATGAAACAAATCAGATGAGAGACAAGACGCAATCTCTGGAAAACGAGCGAAATATGTACAGGGGAAATACCGAGAACTTATGTTCTCCCCCCTCCCTCCCCCCTTCCCACCACCCAGTTCACGTTACGTTTAGTTTTAGCTTTAGTTATTGTTCTCAACATAGATAAAAACAGGTACGAACAAAAGAATCATCAGGAGTAAGACGATATACATATAACATTGACACCCTGGACTGGTGGACAAATTAAGCCACAGCCAGAGGGGGTAAGGGAAAATGAGAACATGGAGCTCAAACTTGTATAGCTACCCCAACTGGCAGTGTTGTTTTGCTGTACTACATTTACCGGGTATACTAGTAATGAATGCTGAGTTTGAGCTTAACTTTTATTTTTACACCTTGTGATACTGGAGGATATGTAAAACTTGGACAGTATGTAAACACTGGAACAGAATTAATTTTTATGCAAACTGAATGTAGAGGATACCATTGTGAAAACTGATGATTGTACATACCGAAAATGCACATTTACTGTTTGTACCTCATAAACTACAATAAAAAAAAGACCACTATAGTGCCAGGAAAACATACTCGTTTTCCTGGCACTATAGCGCCCTGAGGGTGCCCCCACCATCAGGGTCCCCCTCCCACCAGGCTCTGGGGAGAGGAAAGGGGTTAAATTTACCTATTTTTCCAGTGCCGGGTGGGGGACTCTCCTCCTTCCTGTCCAAAACAGAACTTCTTTCCTCCCTCAAGTGCTGCTACTTCCGTGTCTGTCTCCCTCAAAGTTAATGGCACTACCAACAGCTCTACCTTGCAAGCTCGCTGCCTAGGTGTTCTCTTTGACTCTAACCTCGCCTTCACCCCTTATATTCAGTCAATCACCAAATCCTGCCCCTTCCATCTCAAAAACACAGCGCACATCCGCTCCTATTTAACGCCAGAGTCAGCTAAGGTGCTGTCTTCTCTTGCCCTGACTACTGCAACCCGCTTCTCCGTGGTCTTATGTGTTCCCAATTTTTCCCACTATAGTAATTGAAGTGAAACTCAGCCTGTTGTTTGCTTGCACCTACCACGCCTCCCCCCTCTGTCAGTACCTACATTGGCTTCCGCTAAGATATAGGGCTCAATTTAAAATTCTGAAACTTGCTTACAAGTTTTACTTACATCCCATCCGCCAAAGGCCTGCATCTATCCTCTGTCTGTGCTTGTACCTCTTAATCTCACATTAAAGCCTTCTCTAAGGCTGTACTGTTCCTAAGGAACTTTCTTCCCTGTTCCGTTAGACTCTCACAGACTCACTGTTCCTTCAAAATAAAATCATTGAAAACTCGCTTCTTCAGGAAAAGATATCAATTAAAGGACCACTATAGTGCCTAGTGTCTAGTGTCTCCACCAAAGCTACCCTATTGGAGTTACTGACACGCTCCTACAGTTCAGAGCCGACTTATAAGGCTCAAAAGATTGTGAGTGCTCCAAGTTATATTTTTACCTTATATGTTATGACTACATACTACCCTATGAAGGCTTTCTGTATATTACAGGTTTAACAATTTGTATCCATTGTGTGCGCAAACCTGCCTCCCCTGTATCCAGTACTTGTGCAGTTAGTTGCTGTTCTCCAAGCTTGTGCGATGAGTTTGCATCCCTTGTTTGCGTGCAGATAAAAGAATCCTTTGGATCTGCGGAGATGTCGTTTGAGTAGTAAAGTGTGTAGTGGTCTTCGGGCTTCCAGAAGTTCGTTGTAGTTTTCCTCCACTTGGTTGCGTTTATGTTGCGTTTCCAGTGTTGCAATAGAGTCTATGATCGCGAACATGTGTACCAGCTTCCTCCTTCTTGTGTGATGCAAGTTGAATGATTTTGCCTCGGAGCACGCTTTTACGAGCCTCCCATACAGTCATATGTCGTCCGTTGCATTTCCACTGAAGTAGTGTCACGTATTCATCCGCTTATAGAAATGTGGTTAATGACATTTACTGTCCACACAGGAAAAGTTGTGCTGAGCAGCAACCTAATCCACAGAAGGTTTAATGCTGAGCAGTAATTGTGCAAATGAAACCATGTCTCATGTATTCATCCGCTTATAGAAAAGTGGTTAATGACATTTACTGTCCACACAGGAAAAGTTGTGCAGAGCAGCAACCTAATCCACAGAAGGGTTAATGCTGAGCAGCAATTATGCAAATGAAACCTGGTAACTGACTTTGGGGTCAAAGGCCGGTTACAGCCTATCAGAAAGAAAAGAGGGGTATTAAGGCCCAGTTCCCAGCCTGCTCAGTGCCCTGTCGTGGTTTCCCTTGTGGTTGTCCGAGAGCGCGTTCCTGTTTATAGTTTTCTACCTGGTTTTTGACTTTGGCTTTGTTTATTGACTTCTCTATATTCTGGTATCCTGACTCCTGGCTTTCCTCATCGCTGTGTCCCTTTCTGTGTTCCCTGACCTCGGCTAGTATTTTTGACTATTCTTTGTACGTTAAATCCGGCCATTCTAAGGACCAGTAATAAGTTACTTATTTGTCATCCGTGCTGTACAATTCTACGTGCTGGATCAAACAGTAATCCTGACAAGTAGGTAGTTAGTGCCTGGGTGATTTGGTCTCTGGTTTCTAAGTCATTCAGTAGGGCATCATTGAGCCTCCAGGTCCTCTTTACTTGTCTTGTGAAGGGGGAGTAGATTTCCATAGCAACCGGGCTGTGGTCCGACCATGTCGGGGTGCCGATGGAGATCTTCTGAAGTCTTATTAGATTTTCCTGTTGTAAGAGCAGAAAATCTATCCCAAAGTATAGTTTGTTTATCAGTGAATAGTGGGTGTAATCTTTATCAGATGTTGGGCCCTCCAGCAGTCCACCAATCTCAGGTTCCTCAGGGTCTGATGGATAGTCCCGATCTCTCTCTGTGGGATACTGCTATGTCCTGTGGAGGAGTCCATTTTAGGGTCCAGTGGGACATTGAAGTCTCCTCCTTTTATCAGCATGCCCTCCGTAAACTCTGCTAGTTTCTTCAGTGTGCATTTAAGGAAACGTGATAGATTGCGGTTCGGTACATATATCGTTGCCAATGTGTATTTACGGCACGATATCTCCCCCTTAACGAAGGGGCCCTTCTCGTCTTTTCTTATTCTCAGAATTGTAATCTGGCAGCTACCATAATCGCTACCCCCGTTATCCTGGCCGTGGGGTGGTTGCTGAAATAGTTGGTGGGGTAGTATTTGTTATGCAGCGCAGGTGCAGATCCCGTGCAAAAGTCGGTCTCTTGTAAGAGAGCTATGGCTACGCTTCCCTTCTGTAGTTCTCTGAGGAGGTGGGTTCTTCGTTCTGGTAAGTTTAGTCCCCTGCAGTTTTGCGTTATGACTTTAATCGAATCCGGGCAGTATGTCATTGCGATTCCATGTAGTTTGCTTCCTTTTGGGTTATCCTAGCTAGATGTCAGGGTCACCCAGTTGCGTCCCCCCACCCCTCCCTGAAGGTGGGAGGCGGCCAGACGAAGCTGTTCTTCATGCGGTTGTGTAATGTGGCTAGGCCCCGATGGATCGAGATCTGTATGTGCTTTAGTGTGGTCGCTGTCTGGTGGTGTTATGTTATGATGTGAGTTCTGATTCCTTTTTGTTGGATGTTTGTTGCTATGTTTGTCGTTTATGTTTTTATTGGTGCTTTGAATTTTTTTTTTTTTCTCCTTTTTCCCATGTGGGGTATCTAATCATGGTGTTGAGGTGTGAGGTCAGTTTTTACCTGTAGGTGGGTCATATATGCAAGTGCATGTGTGCAACGTGGCTTATCCTCCCGTGCTTGTGTGGGTGCGATGTTACACCCATAGGGGTGAGGCGTAGAAACATAGAGCATCTTTAACCACTCACCTATGGTAGAGTTCCATATGTACTCCCATCTGTCTCCGTTAAAGTCCGAGGAGCTCATCACATATCGGCAGAGTTCCAGGGTCATGTGTGGGCAGTGGACTGGAGTTTGTATGATGCCCGGAAATGCTGTTGAAAGTCACCGCAAAAGGGGCTCCAAGGTGTTTCATATGGAATGTCTCGGGTATTCCCAACTAAGCCCCCTCCCCAACAGTCCACTCTGCTTACTTATCCTTCCCTTTTACCCTCTAAAATAAAATTTATTTTGATTATTTTTTAGTGGGGGTTTTTGGGGTTACGCTTTTTTTTTGGGGTGGGTAATCTAACTGTGAAGGTGGTACTCTGAGGATCGATGTTTTCGTGAAGGAGTATGCCTTTATTCATTACAACCCCCTCCCCCCCCAAACCTGTGCTATTACCAAGCTGTCCCAGTGTCAGTGTACCTTTTACCATTTTCCATAGTGTTATCCCGTCCGGGATTTCTGCAGGCTATGGTGGTTTGAGGGTGTCGGCTCCGCGGGTACCGGTCCTGATGCATTTGTTGGTGGGGCTGTTACTCCTCAGGATTTGTCAGTTTCGTGCGGCAGCCTTGTGGGGGACCTCCCAGAGAATTCCATCTTCTCCTCCGTGCTTGGCGCTGCGGTTGGGGTCTAGGTTCTAGACGCAGTAGGATCCAATTCTGTACAGGTATCGTTGGCAGATCTAGGCGTTGCAGGAATTGGGGTATCTCCTCGGGCCATCTGGCCGATATCCATTAGTTGTTATGCTGGACTAGGATGCTGAAGTGGTAGCCCCATTAATAAGTTATGTTTTTCTCCTGCAGTATGGTGGTGATCGGCCTCAGGGCTCGCCTGGCTTCTAGGGTCATCGGCGAGAAGTCATTGAAGAGGGATACTTCTGCACCCCTATTGTTCCAGTGGGCCCTGGATCTAGTCTTTCCCATGATTAATTCCTTTAGGGGGAAGGAGTGAAGGCAGCAAATTATCTCTCTCTCTACCCCCTCCGAGGGCCGAGGCCGTAGCGCCCTATCATACTTGATTTGGACCGGTGCTTCCTCCCTCAATATAAAGCGGAATATGGAGGTGAGTATAACTTCTACGTTCTCCCTGTTCTACGTACACCTTTCACCCTGATGTTGTTGCATCGACCATGTCAGTATGAGTGGCTGTAGCGTGGTCTTCAGCTGTCTGCGCTCACTGTTCCAAGTTTAGGATGCAGGCCTCATGTACCGTTACATCTGCTTTTAGGCCTGCTACCTCCGTTTTGATCGCTTCGTGCAGCGTGGCGGACAGTTGGTGTAGGTCATCTTTGGTGACCATTACATCACCATGCGTTTGAGGTCTGCTCAGATGTCCGCTGGTGTGGTGTGATCCGAGCTGGGGCATGTGGAAGCAGGCGAAGGAGGCACCATTTTAGAGGTCGGAGGCCCATGAGCGGGCCCAGCCGGCGTGTGGAGGTAGTCGTCCATCGGGCCCGACTGCGAACCGGGTAGAGTATTCCTGGGGGTCTGTGGGGGTTCAACCTGTTTAGTGCGTCCCATTAGTGCAGTTTAGTAGTGTGGTAGCTATTAACTGTGCTGTCGTGGAGCGGAGCTGTGCGGTTAGGCAGGCATGTCTGTCGGAAGCCCAGGCCACGCCCCTCTTCCATTGCTTATTGTCACCCATTAAACTGTGCAGAATGTCAGCACTACATAAACAGACACAGACACAAACACAATCACGGCTATCTAAATAAAATCATTCAAATATTACAAAGTGAGACATGCAAATATATGTCACATTTACTAGTTTTACATTTCCAGGTCTGTTCCCCTCTTTTGCTCCCTTATGTGCAGCGTTATTGAGAAAAGCATGGGATGAACATACATGAGCCAATGTATTACAGATAAAGTATAAGTGTTACCTCTGTAATAAGCTTTAGTAATTGCATCAAACTCCTCCTGACCAGCTGTGTCCCATAACATTAGCCGCACATCTTCATCATTTATTCTGAAAAACAAAACCAAGAGATAATGTTAATCATGTTGCGGTTACACTTGTTTGTGTTTTTAAATTATTTAGCATTTTCACAGTACACGAAAAACAAACCACGGAAGGCAACAATGAGACTGTAAATATGTAAATAGTGTTAACATGCCGCCAAAAGAATAAATGCATAGAAAAAAAAATCTGAGTATTTAACAGGAAATAAAATATTTTAGTAAAGGAGGGAATTTATCAGTCCAGAGTCTCAAATTGGATCTTTAAAAGGCACTGTCAAAATGTGATTTTAAAATATCAAGTTTAGTTTGGGCAACATGGCAACAACAACATGGTCATAATGAAGCATTGTCATTAAATCACCATTTATAACAGCAGTATTATAAAAGCTGGAACTAGGAACAAGGGGCAGATTTAACCCAGATGCAGTGAATTTTATTTCCTATCATTCACAGCTGTACTCCTATGCAACGAGCTGCAGGGTACCACATTAAAAACACCTAGGTTCTTTCAATGCAGCACCATTATAACTGTATTATAAGGACACAGGTCATTCTAAGGATAACAGTTAACCAAGGATTCCAACACACCTATACTAGCATTTTGCATTACACTGCAAAAAGAAGGTATATGGAGAGTAATCAATATTTTAAAAACGTCCTGGGCAGCCGTGACTATTCAAGATTATTTTATTCCAACATGGCAGTAGCTTTTGACAGGATCTCAAAACATTAACCCTTTAAGTACACAACTTCTGGAATAAAAAGGAATCATGACGGAATATTTCCGTCATGTGTCCTTAAGGGGTTAAAATGTGCTCCAATACCCCGAGAACGCTTCCAGCAAGCCTTAGAGGAGAATTTGTTTTATGAATTTTAAACAGCCTTACAGGAGTCAGAACACCTAATTTGATGGCATATAGAGCCTGCTACTATGCATGATCATGTCCCATGTGATTTATCGGTCTTCTTAACATGAGTTCATTAGTTCGGATTACGATGTTTGCTTTGCCCATTGCTGGTGTGAAGGAATGAGGTAATGAGTTGAGACTGACGACAAGGCTCTTTCTGCAATGCTCTCTAGAGAAAAAGCCCAGGATTACAATGCTGCTTTATTGCAAACAGCTCATTAGCCTCTCAATACACTGTAGATTTTGCCAGTAATGAATGCTAGTAAAACCAGAGAAGAGAACAAGAAAAAAAAAATATTATATATATATATATATATATATATATATATATATTTAGAGAGAGAGAGAGGATGATGGGAGTTGCACTCCAGCTCTCCTTAGTTATTGCCCGGTGCTTGGCTGCACAAATGTATAAATATCAAAAAAGAGTCAGCACTCAAGGACTTTCAATTTGCTAGAAAAAATGCAAAAAACCTTTTAATCCAGTTGGTCAAGAGGTCAACGTTTCAGTCCATCGTCGTGGACTTTCATCAGGACATATATTATTTATATTTTCAGCAATCTTGGCATGATACCAAATATAATATGTACAGATGTTGCATGAAACCGATACAAATGAAAGATCTACATATTAGTTTAAGCTATTATGAAAGGTCCCTTGCATTTCATTTTCAGTTTCATGTATGGTCAGGAAATTCTTATGTATCAATTTAAATACTAGAAGTCCCAGATTTATGTAGAGGATTAGCAGAGATGTATATAAATCCCACACCCTCAACCTAAAGTTCTATGGTAAAAATAAAAAAAATAGCTGTAAAATCGACAGAATAAATATAACAAAATATATAGCATAATAAAGATTTAAAAAAAATAAAATAAACTGTGCTGTTTGAAATGCACTCATAAGAATGTTTTTAAAGTGCCTCTGGGTGCCCCCCGCTAAAATTCTAGGTGGGGCTAGCCAAATATCACCTTTGCCCAAGACTGTAGCGACCATGCCAAGAACAATTGTGTCAAGACCAAGACTTGACCTTGACTGTATTATGCTATATCTAGATTTCTTCTGTACATTCACAGCTGTATTGTAAAAGTTTTATATTAGCAGTTAGATAGGTGTGCACCTTTAAATCGGCAGGTTTGACCATTTGGGTCCCCATTACAACATACCAAAAGTGTAATCTATTTATAGTTATTAGTCTGTGAGCGTTGCTAGTAAGTACCTGTTGAATCAGTGTGACAGCCATGCCAGCCAGGAAAATACCACACAGATGATGTCTCAAGAGATACCATGCAAGATTGCACATAAGGGTCACTCACAGTCAATCCAGAATCATTAAGATATACTAGCTCCTCATAAGGTTTTATGGCAAAAGCATTACAGAAAACCATTTTATGTAGATTTAGCACTGTGTTCAGGAATAAAAAAATCCCAGTAATAATTAGACTATAATGTCTAGCCATGTGCCAACTGTTACACTCTTAAGCAGGAAAAAAACCCTAACAAACCTGAAAAAAAAAAAGAAGGAAAAAAAAAACCCACACAAAACACACTATAAACACCCAGACTGTCTGAGAGCAGTGGTCCTGTAATTTGATTGAAGGAGCGCAGCGTGCATTCTATAAGAAGCATTTGATTGATGGAAGATGAGATCACCTACAGGACAATGTCACCATTAACAGAGTGGGGGCTTAACACAATAAGTCTCAATGCTGGAAGAAGGATAAGTAAATGTATTTTTTTAAATTGGATTTAGGGGGCCCAGAATCTAAATTGAGAGGAGAACACTATACTATTAGGAATACAAGTTTGTACCCCTAACTCCATAGTATTCATTTAAAGGGACATTATAGTCACCCAGATCACTTCAGCCACTAGAGGGACTTCCAGGTGGTTAGGCGACTTTTGGTCGCCAACCTGAGGCTGGATGTCATCACGCTATGCATGAGGACATCCAGAGTCACCCAAAACCCCGTAGGAAAGCATTAAACAATGCTTTCCTATGGGGGTGTTGAGTCCTGATATGAACACAGCCCTCAAAGCGCATGTCATTAGGTCGTCATCCCCCGCCAGCAGATGTCGGCACAGGTGGAGTGGAGGCGGAGGCTGAACCAGAGCCGAGGAAAAATCTGCACTGGAATCAGGTAAGTGAAAGAAGGGGTTTTTAACTTGACAGACAGAGATGGATAGGGTGATATCAAAGGACCAGGGAGTTCCTATGCTTCTTTATTCATACTATGCTATTCTCCCATAAGAGGACAGGAATGCCCGGTTTCAAGTCCTAAGAACTAATCTGTAACAAAGTGAAAATGATCAACTCATATAAACTGGATTACTAGGTGATGCTCTTTTTATTCTCTTTCTATAGGGATGTTTGTGGAGTTTACATTGCTTTGAAACCCTAGCCTGTGGCACAGTCAGGAAGAATCGCAGAGGTTACCCCCAAACCCTAGCAAGAGGTAGAAGTAGAGGTTCCTCTTCAGCTCTCCGCCAGGATGAGTTGCTTGCCCTTCGCTTCACAGATAGGATGTATACAGGCTGTCTACAATGCACGACTAAAGTACAATGCCAGTGTCTGTGAGAGGTAACAATGAGCATCTGGAAAGAGTAAACTTGGCTGACCAACCAAAAAACTAGGACCTGGTACAAGAGAATTGCAATTTTCAATGCCTATAGCCTCTATAAAAAAAAGAAAAAAAAAAGAAGAAAAAAAAAAGTCAAAGGTAAGCACTGCCCTTTCCTAGAATTCATGCTAAGCCTTTTATCCCATTTGTTATTTACCCAGCCCCCCAATCCCACTTTGGAATCAGGAGACTCCAAGACTACGTTGCAAACCACAAAACCATAGGGACCCGGCTCTAAACGCCGGCAGTAGGCATAGTATGTCCACACCATCCTGGCCACTGCTCGTCAGCGATCTCACGCCAGTGATCGCGATGGGGGGGACTTACCTAGCATCTCAGGGAGTCCCCCTGCTGCCGATATGGCCCTCCTGGGCCATGTGATCATGAGGTTAAAAACTGTTTAAAATTACATAACATATACTTAGATCAAAAATTATATATTTATTTTAATTCTATGTATATATTTATGTTATTTTTACATAATTAAGTAATTTTATCAATTACTATTTGCAGGACCTGCCTGATAACCCAGGCAGAAAGTCCAGAGAATTTAAATTTGCTAGCACTATATTTAACACTGTAACTTTCCAAGATACCATAAAACCTGTACATGGGTGGTACTGTTTTACTCGGGAGACTTCGCTGAACACAAATATTAGTATTTCAAAACAGTAAAATGTATTATAACGATAATATCACGATTTTGAAACACTAATATTTGTGTTTAGTGAAGTCTCCTGAGTATAACAGTACCCCTCATGTACAGGTTTTATGGCGTTTTCAAAAGTTACAGAGTTAAATATAAGGCTTGTGTTTCTTCACATTGAAATTCGCCAGATTGGTTACGTTGCCTTTGAGACCGTATGGTAGCCCAGCAATGAGAATTACCCCCATGAGGGCATACCATTTGCAAAAGTAGACAACCCAAGGTATTGCAAATTGTGTATGTCCAGTCTTTTTTAGTAGCCACTTAGTCACAAACACTGGCCAAAATTGGCGTTCAAATTAGTTTTTTGCATTTTTCACAAACAAACAAATATTAACGCTAACTTTGGCCAGTGTTAAGGGGTTAAGGTCAGGAGACTGTGATGGCCACTCCAGAACCTTCACCTTTTTCTGCTGTAACCACTGGAGGGTAAACGTCACCTTGTGCTTAGGATCATTGTCATTCTGGAAAGTCCAAGAACTTCCCATGCGCAGCCTTCATGCGGAAGAATGCAAATTGTCTGCAATATTTTCTGATAATATGCTGATCCCCGAATTAAGTAATAAGTGATTGAAAAGTACTGACTGGCATTTTAAAGGCTTTGGATATTTTTTGTATCCTTTTCCATCTTTATAACGTTCCATTACCTTGTTACGGAGGTCATTGACAGTTCTTTTCTGCTCACCATGGCTCAGTATCGAGCCTGCTCAGTGCATCTACGTGAGAGAAACTCAATGGCAATTTATACAAAGACACTAGTTGCAAATTAAAAGTCACAGGTTTGGTAAATAAACATTTAATTGCCACTTTAACCTGTGTGTCTCACCTTGTGTGTCTGTAACAAGGCCAAACATTCATGGGTATGTAAACTTTTGATCAGGGCCATTTGGGTGATTTCTGTTATCACTAGGATTTAAAAAGGAGCCAAATGACAGAGCTTGACAGCCATCTCTCATACAGATGCCATCTCGGAGTGCTCCATAACAAACTACTCGTTTTACCGATATATTCCCGTTATCGAGCCCTCCGAACCACACACCAGCACCCTGACTATGAGCAAAACCGATCAATGCCATTCTTCCAGGCACTGAAGCAGAGGCGCAAGTCAGCGGCCTACTACATGCTGCCATTCCGGGACCTGGGGACACTGCTTGGCAAGCCTCCCGTGGAAAGGTCGGAGGACGCACCTTCATCTGCTGACACTATCCCGGCCACTAATATGCCGGCGAAAGCACACCGCTCGCACAAGACGACTGTTGTGGCTGCTGGCAGGGACATAAGGGACATGCGGCAGCGGCCAGCACTACTTTGGTCTACTCCTGTGAAAGACCATCCTGAGCCTCCTCCACCACCCTTAAGTCCTATGCCGGTAAGGCAGGGCAACACCACCACGGTCGAAAATCTGATGGATCAGCCCCAAGACTCCAATAATTACTCTGCCCCTACCACAAAACGGGACCTCAAGATACTACTGGCTGACGTACAAAAATTGCTGGCTGCAGATTTGAACCTTGTCAAGCTTGACATCCAACAAGTCACAGACCAGGTGAGAACCGTGGAGGAAGATATAATGGAAGTACAATCCTACCTGTCTTCCCTCAACGACTCAGTTCAACAGCTACAAACTTAACAGAGGGCACTATCAACACGGATGAATGCTCAGGAGGAACAGCAGCGCCGAACCCACATAAAAATCAGAGGTATACCTTCGATAGTCTCGGCCGAAGAATTGCCGCATTATATCTGATGCTCATTAACTACTATACTGTCACACACTGTCGCTAAGAAAATAGCTATAGATGGAATATACTGCATCTCAGGTTCTGCTAGATTTCCCACCAATATGGTCAGGGAAATGATCCTGCGCTGTGTATCAGTACAAGACAAAATCCGAATCATGATGGCCCTGAAGGGCAACACACCACTGGCCTTTGAAGGCACGCACCTCTCCTTCTTCCAAGACCTTACGAGAACAACTTTTTTATGGAGAAAGTCCTTTGGTCCAGTCACAGCCTGATTGAGAAACACTGGAGTGACCTGTGGATGGGGGAATGAATGGCTCCCTACAAGCAAACCACAATGGGACCACATGCACGCTTACCTCACCAGAAGCTGCTCCAGCCTTTATGACAGCGCTGGGCCTGCCTGACTTGCCTGCAACCTAGCACCCAGAGTCACCTCGCGATCTATGGGACCCAACAAACATCACCCCCTTTGTGCCAAAAGCGGGACCTTCCAAGACCCAGCAACCTGCCTTCAGATGGGAAGTATGCTAGCCCATTAGGCATGCAAGCCTCCAGACTGTACTACCAAGGAGCACAGACACTCACGTTCTATACACCCATGACTCACGTGTGGGTATAATATATTTTTCTTTTATTTTTCATTTCTTTTCTTTAAAAAAAAAAAAAAAAAAAATTCCTTTCCTCCACACTACTTGTTCTCAAAGGTTACTAAACGGAAACTCAGAGCATAGTTTTAGTACCTGACAATCCCTAGTGGATAGCGTAGAACCCGCTAAATTCACTTTAGCCCCAGACGATATGCTTCGTCACCTAAATTCAAACATGTCCCCGCCAACCCCAAGGTTAGGGGAACCACACCAGGATGCATATTTTCCCAATGCATATGGAATAGCTCTTATGGCAAAGTGAATTCGCTTATAGTAATACAGTATGTACAATTTTATGCAAATTTTTACATTGGCATCCTAATTTCCACAAAATTGTTACCAACCCCATTAACTCTCTGGCTCCTGGACACCCCTGGGAAAAGTCAGCTTTAGCTGCTCTGTCATTAACCCTGCACGGGTCCCAGACCACTATCACGTTTTAACGTTATCAAAAACGCATGCATACTTAAAAGCTTTACAATGCCACCATACAACAAAACAATCTCCATACGAGCAAAAGTATTGCGGCAGTTACACATTCACTTCAGTTTTACATCCCTTATGTTTTAATGCTATTACATCGAATTCCTGTCGCTCAATGCATTTCTATATGGTTAAAGGAACACTATAGTCACCTAAATTACTTTAGCTAAATAAAGCGGTTTTAGTGTATAGATCATTCCCCTGCAATTTCACTGCTCAATTCACTGCCATTTAGGAGTTAAATCACTTTGTTTCTGTTTATGCAGCCCTAGCCACATGATTGACAGAGCCTGCATGGAAAAAAAACTGGTTTCACTTTCAAACAGATGTAATTTACCTTAAATAATTGTATCTCAATCTCTAAATTGAGCTTTAATCACATACTAGAGGCTCTTGCAGGGTCTAGCAAGCTATTAACATAGCAGGGGATAAGAAAATCTTAATTAAACAGAACTTGCAATAAAGAAAGCCTAAATAGAGCTCTCTTTACAGGAAGTGTTTATGGAAGGCTGTGCAAGTCACATGCAGGGAGGTGAGACTAGGGTTCATAAACAAAGGGATTTAACTCCTAAATGGCAGAGGATTGAGCAGTGAGGCTGCAGGGGCATGTTCTATACACCAAAACTGCGTCATTAAGCTAAAGTTGTTCAGGTGACTATAGTGTCCCTTTAAGTGCACCTCTTATGTCATGCCAGCACCTTTAACTGACACTATTTACATGCTCTGTAAATTTACTGTACTGACATCGTGCACCTGTATGACAACTTTTGCACGCCAAAAATAAAGAATTTTTTTTTTTTTTTTTTAAAGGAGCCAAACATATATGTGATAATAAATGGCTTCATATGATCACTATCCTTCTATAAAATATTTTTTTTGCATGATCAGTCATATTAATAAAATCAATGCCAAAATTTTACCATTTCTGCCAGGATAACATTTTAGCACAACTGTATATACACATGCACCTCTAAAGATAGCTAGTGACCAATACAAACACAATAAATGAAATAATTAAACAGGAATGGTCTTCATTAAAGGACCACTATAGTGCCAGGAAAACAAACTCGTTTTCCTGGCACTATGTAGTCCTTAGGTTCCCCCCACCCTCATGGCCCCCCGCTGGGCTGAAGGGTTTAGAGCCCCTTCAACCACTTACCTTTCTCCAGCGCCAGGCTCCCTCGGCGCTGGTGACCTCTCTTCCACTAGAGGCTTTCATTAACCCTCAGTGTAAACATAGCAGTTTCTCTGAAACTGCTATGTTTTCAGCTGCAGGGTTAAAACTAGTGGGACCTGGCACCCAGACCACTTCATTGAGCTGAAGTGGTCTGGGTGCATATAGTGGTCCTTTAAGTAGTAGATTTACTGCAATCTTCCTTTACTGATGAATTATAATGGCAGCATTAACAAATGCAATATCTCCTCCACTCACAATAGAAAAGGCAGGATACAGAACTCTGAATTGGAATAAATTGTAATATCTTGGTCAGTTTAGTGGAGGAAAAAAGTATAATGAGAGGAGGGTGTCATCTTACAAAATCTATCTAAGGTCAATTAGCTAACAACATTATCCTTGGAAAAGATCAAATCTAGAATAAAGTCTATGCAAAAGGGGATCAAGGGATGGTGATTTAAGAGACCACAAGAGAATTGGAGAGAAAAATATATTCTTAGCACAAGCAGCACAAGAAAATAATCTAACACCTTGCTTCAAGAAAGGCCACCAAAATTCTCTAAGGATGTGGTCTTGGAAATGCCCACGTGCACTACTATCCAGCAAAGCATGCAGTCAATCCAGCAAAGCAACATGTAAATTATTTGTTATAAAAGCCTTTCTGAAGAAATCTCAAGGCATTAGTGTATGGAAAGCAATAATTTGCTCCTTCAAAAAGGAGGAAAGGGACAAATTACTAAGCCAAATCGAAACCAGGTATCAATGACAATGCAATAAGAACACACTTACAGGTGCAGAACTCAACAAAGGATCCTATGAGTTTGTACAGTAGGTTTAAAAAGCTCTACTATATGACTCTTTCAATCAGCATCAGTTTGATGACACCGGAAGATGTGCATGTGTTGTTGTTAATCTGACACACGTTTCAGTGAGGACAAGACGGAGGAGACAATTGTTGATTAACTCAGAGTAAACTTTCTCAAGTGAAGTTTTTTCCTGTTACCATTTGCTGAATGTAATTGCTAAATGTTAGTGTCTCTATGTTGTCAGGGTATTTATATCGGCAGACATTTTGTGCTATGATAGAAACTAAAAGTGTATATTCTGAGTCACTCTGAACAGACCAGACTCCATTTTGTTATTTCAAGTTAACAAAGAAGACACTAGATTTCTTTCTGTAAGACTGGCCTCTTTGCCAGAGCTAAGGAATGTATAGCATAGTATAAACAAGTGATAAGAAGAATATAATCAAATCTAAACCCAGACAATTGTGACAGAGAAGATTAAATAATTTAATATTTAACTGTCTATACATATAAGGTACCATTGTATGGAAAAGGGTAAACTTAGTTCATGATCTGTCATATCAGAAATTATAGCAGATTTGCAGACACATAGTCTGGACAAAATGTAAGAACCCCTTTGATCTTTGAAGGATACGTAAGTTATAGCCACTATCTAGATAGGCCAAAATGACGTCAAAATAGCCACCAGGAAAAGTTAACTCTTTCCTGGATAGGTATGTTTAGTGGGACAAGACTGCCCTCTACAGACCAAATAACTAATTTGCGATCTGGAAGATAACCACACCTCTAGTGCTTCTATTGGGTTATCAACTGATGACGTACAGAGAGTCTGGCCCTTTAAAAGTTAAGACAAAGGGAAGATAGGGAGACAGACGAAGGAGGCAGATGTAAGATATGCAAAGGAGAGAAAAGAGAGGAATTGGAAGTTTGGGGACTCCAACCTCCATGCAGAGACACATCCAAATAAATTCCTGAGACTACCAATCGGATGAAATATCTACTCAACTGGTAATTATACTGGTTTCATTTAATTAAATTAAATTAATTAAAATGTATTAATAGTATTATATATGACTGGATAAAGCACGGTCAGATTTCCATATTAAGAAATCTTAGTTAACTAAGAATATATAGTTATAAACATTCCATTCTGCAGGTGGAATTAAGAATAATTATATATTGATGTGATATTATCACGTGTTAGCATACCGCTGTTTTTATCCAGGTGTATTGATTTGCTCTAAATTAAGATAGATATCTTTTAGACAAATTAAAAATCTGCTTATATAATATGTAGATTCTCTTATTGGATTGTTTTCAGGAAATGGCTAATGAACTGGTTTAAATGTTATTTTATTTAAAAATTACATAAGAATAGATCTTAACTACCTAGGAGATCTAGCCAGCATTGAAAGGGTTACTCTAACTGTCTGCTAAACTTTACGACCTTACGCTGCACTCTGAGGAATTCTGTTCTTCTGTGAAAAGTTTCACTTTCAGCCTGTGTTAAAGATAGTCATAAATAATTCTTGACAGGAAATGCTATTTAGCCATTGTAACGTAATACCCATTTCTTTGTATTGCATATAATTTTATACTGAATATTCATTGATTATTGTCATGCATGTTACATAATATTATTTGTTAATTATTGGTTATCATAAATAAAAATCTATTTTTATACATTGTGATTATTTATATGAAATACTTTCCACTTAACACGATAAACGTTCTTTGGGATCTGAGAATTGAATTAGTGGGCAATTCTCAACTGTTTACTATTATTATCCCATAAATATCCCCACAATGTTATGTATAAAGCATATAACATTTTTATATTTAAAATGTATTTACAAAAAAAAAGTTTCATTGAAAAACTTGGGTAAAAAACTAAAATAAATATATATATATATCTCCAATCACAGATAACCATAAGCCAGGGTTTGGCAAACAGTGTGTCCCCAAATGCCACTCTAAATTCTGGGTAAGCATTATGGAAATTGCGGTTTTACCATTTTCCCAGCCCTTCTGCAACATACCCATATGACTAAACAAGTATGAGTGACAAGAGTGCCACATTATATAACAAAAAGGAAAGATGAGAAATACGTACTGAATCTGTCTTTCCAAAAAATCAACTCCAATGGTTTTCTTGTAATCTTTTGTGAATATCCCCTTGCAGTAGCGTTGAATCATACTTGACTTTCCAACAGCACCATTTCCTACCACCACCACCTTAATGGCCACTTCCATATCTTCCTCGAACATGCTGGCAGCTGTGTAGTTTCAGTTAGGGTGCTCTGTTATGCAGCTTCAACCTAAAAACAAAGAACTTCTGATTAATGCAGCCACACACAAAGGACAAATAACAACGAAACAGAATAAATACATGCTTTTTACAATGGATGCACCTCATTTTTCAAACCTTAGAAGATGCACAATCCTTTAATGATCATAATATAATTCTTGGAGATTTCATGTAAAACAAACAATTGTAATCATTATTAAGCACAGTAAATCTAATTAAAGGACCACTACAGTGCCAGGAAAACAAACATACTCGTTTTCCTGGCACTATAGTGCCCTGAGGGTGCCCCCACCCTCAGGGACGCCCTCCCGCCGGGCTCTGGAGAGAGGAAAGGGTGTAAGTGTGTTCTTATTGCATTAAACTTACCTTTTTTCCAGCGCCGGGCGGGGAGCTCTCCTCCTCCTCCGATCCTCCTCTTCGGCTGAATGCGCATGCGCGGCAGGAGCTGTGCGCGCATTCAGCCGGTCTCATAGGAAAGCATTCATAATGCTTTCCTATGGACGCTGGCGTCTTCTCACTGTGATTTTCACAGTGAGAAGCACGCAAACGCCTCTAGCGGCTGTCAATGAGACAGCCACTAGAGGCTTTATAGGTTTCTCTGAAACTGCTATGTTTATAAAAAAAAGCGTTAATCCTAGAGGGACCTGGCACCCAGACCACATCATTAAGCTGAAGTGGTCTGGGTGCCTAGGGTGGTCCTTTAAGCAGTTAGAAACCTGTACTGGATGTTGACATGCATAGCCTGTAATCTGACAATCACAAAACAACCGTAGTGACTTAATCTTGTTTATATAAAAAATGTGCAATGTTTCTTATGCCACATTACTGTTACCACATGTTTCTTTTATGTTTGTACCAGCCGTCATGGCAGTGCAAAACTGCTTGTTAATTCTATGCACGAATAAAATAAAGAATAAAAAAAAAAAAATAAAAAAAAATATACATAATAAAACATTAAAAAAAAAAATTGCAATTATTGTTATTCATGCAAAAAGATGCTGCATACAAACCGTACAGAACCAGCTAACATTGTGAAAACATTTTCAACATATATTTATAGGTGTGCAATTTTTCTACAAATGGATTTAGATTTATCTTGGTGTTTGCCATGACATAATTTTAATGTGTATGTTACAACACTGCTGTTTCAAAATTAAAGGACCACTCTAGGCACCCAGACCACTTCAGCTTAATGAAGTGGTCTGGGTGCCAGGTCCAGCTAGGGTTAACCTATTTTTTCATAAACATAGCAGTTTCAGAGAAACTGCTATGTTTATGAATGGGTTAAGCCTTCCCCCAAAGCCTCTAGTGGCTGTCTCATTGACAGCCACTAGAGGCGCTTGCGTGCTTCTCACTGTGATTTTCACAGTGAGAGCACGCAAGCGTCCATTGGTAAAGCATTGTAAATGCTTTCCTATGCGACGGGCTGAATGCGCGCGCAGCTCTTGCCGCGCGTGCGCATTCAGCCCAGGAGGAGGAACGGAGGCAAAGAGCTCCCCGCCCAGCGCTGGAAAAAGGTAAGTTATTACCCCTTTCCCCTTCGCATAGCCGGGCGGGAGGGGGTCCCCTGGCACTATAGTGGTCCTTTAAATTAAAGGGACACTCCGAACGCCTAAAGCATTTGAGCTTGCTGAAGTGCTATATGTGGGAAGAATGTGTCCTGTTTTTCTTTTTTTCCATTTTACAAAAAAGTAAAAGAAATTAATGATCCCCTAATTGGAGCAATAGGTTAATAAGTCCCTACTTAAATTGAAATCAAAATAAAATGTAATTAAAATTAGGCATACGATAACAAAAAAGAAAGAAACTAATAAGTCTGTGGAGTAAATAAGTGAGACTAACATATTATGGAATACAATAACTATAAATGTATTGGAGTTGTACAAGTGCTACATAATAAATGGAAATAAAGCCATAAGCAAGTAAAAAGATGCCTCAATTCTTACACTGGAAAAAGGGGAAGCATTGTTATGCACTGTATCCCTTATAAAGTAATAATATCCCTAAAAAAAAATTTCTACCTTTTAGACTCAATTACCAGAATTAAGTGTTAATAGCTAACTGCGCTATCACAAAGTAATGAAAATATATGTCCAAGTATTATCCACTTAAAACCAGATATCTTTCTTTTTATGTGCGAAGATAGAGATCAGTAGAAAACAATAGTTAGGTAATAAACTATCACAGTATACATAAATCCTCAGAAGCATAGACAGAAGAGCCTTGCACTCCAATATTAGTGGGGTTCTGGCTAATTAAGGCCAACAAGAAAAGTTAGCCATAAACATAAAATAAGCACAAACTATTTACAACTGGGAGTGTAGGAGGGGGGTTATATATAGTTTGTGCTTACCCTCCAGTTGTATATATTCGTAAAAAGATTAAACAAAAAAACAACAACTTGGAAACACTAAACCTGATCAGTCTCACCCTCTGCCGACATAAGCGAGATCCCGGAAAACGAATGTGCGTGCATGACAAGACTGCGTTAGGCCTTCCTCATAGGAAAGCATTGAATAAATGCTTTATTATGGGGTTTTTCACACGCTAAATGTACTCATGCAAATTGTGAGGACATCCAGTGTCGTTTCATGGACTCAAACTCTGTGAAACTGCAGGAAGCACAACTAGTTGCAGGCTTTAGGGAACAGGGACACTGCACCCAAACCACTTCAATGAGATGAAGTGGTCTGGGTGCCTATAGCGAGCTTCCCTCTAATAATTTTTGAGCGCTCTGTACTCTGTGACTGCAACATAAGTGTGAGATCGCACAGCTGTGATATTTAAACGAATATAAAAGGACTATGAGTCACACTTAGAGTGCTGTACATAGCTCACCTGTCTGAGGTTTCTAACTGTGACCCCAGCTGACAGAGGGGACTCTCAGGTATCCAATGATAACTGGGACTCATTGGAACCAGCAGAAATGAAACCCTGCTGGTCCTTTGACAGCAAGGCGTTCTAAAACCCAGCACTGCATGACGGCTTCGACAATCATGTGGTTCAAAAGTGGTTAAAGAAGGGTGTCAGAATAGAGTGTCTGTAAACAAACAAAGATATAAGCACTCATATAAATGAAGAAAGAAAAAAAATGGTAAGTAGGCACCACTGACACTTGTATCAGCTATGCAGGACAAACAGGTCAACTGTTCTACTAATCCATCACTCCATACGTAATGAACACACTCATTTGTCCAATATATAACTGGGAGGACTTTTCAAGTAGAAAAAAAAACCCTAGCAACAACAACAAAACAATGAAACTTAAAAGCTGACAAACAGCAAGATAAACATACAGTTTGAGATTGGGATATTAAAGAAACACTACATGTTGCAGTTGATGACGTTAAATACTTAATGGGTTTCTCCAATTTTATATATTGACACATAAACATACATATAATGTTTATACGAGGTCAAGAAAACTATTAATAGTGCAGGAGACAAGAAATTCCCTACGTACTTTGTATTATTGCAAACTACGCATACTGCATGATGCTTACAACACCCTGAACTCACTCTCATGGATTATAGTGGAATTGATTTGTAAAAAGTGCTGCAACTTTACAGGGCTGGCAAACATTTAACATGTTCCAGGTTTCCAGAATCAATGGTATCTCTATTGCGTGTGTGAAGGACACACACACACACACCAGGAAAGTCTCTCTCTCTTTCACAGATAGTGGGAACAGCTTGGTTCACTAAACAGAGAACAGTTAATTAAGCAGTTCGCATTATCCTGTGGGATGATTGGAACTGCTCTTTGAGGGATAAATAAATTATCCCCCAATCTTCTGTTGGAAGGAGGATTATGGGATAAGATCAGTACCTTTCTCCTGATTTGTGTGGAAGGGGACTGCCAGTAGCAAAATGCAGATCCACTAAGCAGGGCACAGGGGAGTAATATATATATATATATATATATATATATATATATATATATATATATACACACACATACATATATATACACATATATATATATATACACACACACACACACACACACACACACACACACACAAATATACAATGTATACCAGATAAATCAAAAGAGAGTATGGTTATCTGTGCAAAGGTAAATATAAGATGACTAGAAAAATGTATTGAGTTAACTATCGTTTTAATTAATTAAAATAAAAACCTTGTAATACTATTATTGAGGTTATTCGTACTTGAAAACGTCAGTTGCAAGCAATAAATAAGGATTTTCTATAATAATTAATGTACATCTGCTTTAAAATATGCAACCACCACTATCTGCAAATGGAATCCAGTAACATTTCCCAAAAAGGTAGTATTTAAAAACAAACAAAAAAACAAGACAAAAAAAAAAAACATTGACTTGCTATTACTTTGACCACAATTAAATTTAACCTGTACTTTGAGATAGCAGAAATGACCGTAAACATATAGCGTTTATTAATAAAATAAAAATAAAATAGTCCCAACCACCTACCTGTTAAATCAATTGTCAGCAGAAAAAGGTATGAAAATTGCATTGCAGGTATTCCAAGAGGTGATTGACAGGTACAATGCAGGAGAATCTTTCTCAAGGCAGGGGTAAAATGCAGGAGAATATTTCTCCAGGCAATTCTCTCCTTCACAAATAACAGAGTGCACTTAAATGGTACTGCAAATTTCTATCACATGCTAATGTGCAGGCTGTGAAACCAACAGGTCATTGTAAAGGGGGGGTTGTGCCTCACTTGAGTAATCGCTGATGTGCTTACAGAGCAGAGCCGATCAGAAAGAAAGTGGAAGCCAAGGATGGGAACTTTAATGTGTTAATAAATATAAAAAGTGAGCTAAATCACTGCAGTATAGAGTGACGTATATTTTAAAATATCTTTAAAAGGTAGTACTGAAGAAATGTAATAAAGGGCTATTTTCATGAATACTTACGGTTGTTTTAATAATGTAAAAAAATAAAAAAAAATAAAAACAGCCATAGATACTCCTTTTGATGTCTCAAACTCATTACAAAAGTATTTTTGCACACTGCAAATGTTCAGGGCGTTGACACATCTGACTTCAGTATTTCCAAGCTGCTGAAGTAAAACAGGAATCCGAAGAAAACATGTCGTGTAGCCAAAAATATCATGTAACAAATATAAAAGGACCCGTAAAACAAAGCAAAAACCTTTTCTAATTCAGGGCTGGTCAAAAAACAAAATCATAAAACAAAAAAACATCTTTCCAATTAATCTCTAGATAACACTATGATGAAAACATACCACCAAACAGGACAATCAAAGCAAAGTTCATTACCCCATGTGTACAATGTATAAAATGCACGATACACTATTACAATACCTATTGTACAGCGCTATGGAATTTGATCGCACTATGTGAATTCATTGTAATTATTATTTTAGAATTCATAGAGTATATGCAATACACACCATATATGTCAAGTCACATACCGTTAATCCAAGTTACTGTTTGTGTATGAAATTAAAGGCTGTCTTGTGGTTGTTATTAAGAGGATCATATGAAGCAAATACCTATGTATTTCGTAGCAGCTCCTTAACATTGAATACCCTGCTACCTCTGAATAAGGCTCACAGCGCCTAGAAGATCAATGGTCTCCAGGTGGAACAAGTCAGTAGACAAAACATCTTTGCATTCCCAGATTAGCATGTGTTACAGTTAGAGTTACAGGAAGCCAAGTGGAGAAAGCTGGAGTTGTCATAGAGAGGTCATTGTGTTTAGAGGTGGACTGTATTATAGTCTGTGAATGATAAACATTATCTAAATCTCACACCCTCCTCCTATCACCTCTCAGCCATGCTGCCAGCTGTCCTGAAAGGTGTGAAGAGGAAATTTGTATAGCTTTCTTTTCAGTGCATTTTAAGAGTTGCACTTCAAGCTTAGTTTCTGTTTAATTAGTGTGAGTAATTTGTAAACATAATCTAAAACTGTCAATTCCTAAAAAAAAAAAAATTTTTTTTTGATTAACACTGCATGCCAGGTAATCATAACACAACCTGGCATACAATACAAGATATCCTCAACCGAATGATGCCATGTGCACTCATAGTTACTTATGATACCATGAAAATAAACCAGAGCATGACCATTGTCTCATTGTAACATTTTGGCACTGGGCATCAAAGTATACCTGGAGCATAATAGGAGGATTTTGCCACTCTTTATGGGGGCTTATTCCACATCTTGATGGCCCAAAATGTGAAACGCTATAGAACAAACCTTGGATAGTGCACCAAAATGATTATTTATCGAGCGCTAACAAATTCCACAGCGCTGTATAATGGGTTGACTAACAGATGAGCATTTGTAATTAGACAAGTTGGATGCACAGGAACAGAGGGTATTGGGTATTCTGTTCAAAAAGCTTAAATTTTTTTGGACGATAGTTACAGGAGAGGAAGCAAGGAGGGTTGCCAAGGTTTGGGAAGGAAAGCTATTAAAACTTTAAAGGACCAATATAGGCACCCAGACCACTTAAGCTTAATGAAGTGGTCTGGTCAGAGAAACTGCTATGTTTATAATAGGGTTAATCCAGCCTCTAGTGGCTGTCTCATTGACAGCCGCTAGAGGCGCTTCTCACTGTGAATGCTTTCCTATGGACTGGCTGAATGCACGCGCGACTCTTGAGGAGGAGAGTACCCCGCCCGGCGCTGAAAAAAAGAGGTAAATTTAACCCCTTCTAAGTTTAATGCAATAAGAACACACTTACACCCTTTCCTCTCTCCAGAGCCCGGCAGGAAGGGGTCCCTGAGAGTGGGGGCTACCTCAGGGCACTATAGTGGTCCTTTAATTGATATCTTTTCCTGAAGAAGCGAGTTTTCAATGATTTTATTTTGAAGGAACAGTGAGTCTGTGAGAGTCTAACGGAACAGGGAAGAAAGTTCCATAGGAACAGTACAGCCTTAGAGAAGGCTTTAAGGTGAGATTAAGAGGTACAAGCACAGACAGAGGATAGACGCAGGCCTTTGGCGGATGGGATGCAAGTAAAACTTGTAAGCAAGTTTCAGAATTTTAAATTGAGCCCTATATCTTAGCGGAAGCCAATGTAGGTACTGACAGAGGGGGAGGCGTGGTAGGTGCAAGCAAACAGGCTGTTTCACTTCAATTACTATAGTGGGAAAAATTGGGAACACATAAGACCACGGAGAAACGGGTTGCAGTAGTCAGGGCAAGAGAAGACAGCGGCATGAACAAGCACCTTAGCTGACTCTGGCGTTAAATAGGAGCGGATGTGCCCTGTGTTTTTGAGATGGAAGGGGCAGGATTTGGTGATTGACTGAATATGAGGGGTGAAGGCGAGGTTAGAGTCAAAGAGAACACCTAGGCAGCGAGCCTGCAAGGTAGAGCTGTTGGTAGTTCCATTGACTTTGAGGGAGACAGACACAGAAGTAGCAGCACTTGAGGGAGGAAAGAAGTTCTGTTTTGGACAGGTTACGTTTAAGGTAGTGAGCAGCCATCCAGTTAGAAATAGTCGAGTTCTGTGTAGTTCTGAGGCCAGATAAGTTTTAGCTACGGTTATGGGAGAGAGATATATTAGAGTCAGATGGGCCTGCAATAAAGTCCAGACCATTCTGCTGAATAATGTGAATGTGTGTCTGTATTTGTATGGTGTGTCAACTGGCATGTAAACAGGTGTGACACGCCATTAGAAGTGACACGCCATTAAATACACAGCTGTATACAGAGTGCATTGCGTGAGTGAAGGATTGCATTTGTGTACAGTCCCACAATAATTTTAGTTCCGAGGGAAATTGTGTGTGATATTTTTACCACTTTCAACTTACCTCGTTAACTTGCCAGCCTCTTCTAACATTGAAAATTGCTCAATTATTGCAGATTTTAATACAACATGACAGGAAGTGCCTCTAGTGGTTGTCTGACAGCCACAAGAGGCTGTTTTAGCTCTGCCAGATAATTGCACTCTCAAAAACTGCATGATTTACATTGCAGGACTAAATGAGACTGGGACACTGTACCCAGACCACTAGATAAAGTGATCTGGGTGACTATAGCACACCTTTAAGAACACTTTGAAGAAAAAAAATAAAAATTTAAAAAACAACAACAATGGATGGTCTTAGCAAAAGAACTGTCCTCATTTCAGTTGCATTACTAGTAGAGAATTAACACTTCCATATTTTCAGCGCAAGTTTGTCCAAACTGGGAAATACTTATTGGCTGAGAGCACTAGGCTAACCACTCCCAACCAAGGTTGTACAGGTTGGATATATTTGACATTGATAATGTCAGTGCTAAGTGCTAATTCCACATCATCAGTTCAGCAAAGAAAGGGGTAGTTCTTCAACACTGCCAAGATTCTTGGTTTATAAAAATAAAAAAACATTTCTAAACGTTTTGATATATAACTGAGGGACAACACACAGTAGAGATTATGGTGCTTATGCAGCCATTTACTGTAAAACTCAAAGACTATACTGGAATTTGATTGAAATCCCAATGCAATACAAAGACTGCTTTATGCACGAGTCAATTCTAGTTAAAAAAAAAAAAAAAAAGGCGAAGCTTCAAACTTTTTCGACTTGCTATTTACCACCTCACATCAGCCATCGCAAGTGAAACAGGCACTTCTAGACATCTCTCTGTAGTGGTTATGGTATAAAGAGTCTGTAGACATCTTCTGTGTTTGAATCAAACCGTTATAACATCTTCATCTTGGCCCTTTTGCTGCAACTTAGTGAGGTGAAAGTAGACTGTCCCACCCTGGATATAAAAATATAGGCTGAATGTGCTTTCCGAACTCACATTTGGATGGACTTCCAAGATAGTTCAATTCTTCAGTACCTGAACCACAGCAGAGGGGGCAAGCGACAGATGCTGTAATGCCCTACTTTCTGTCAAACCACTTTGAACACAACAACTACAGACTCTTTGCAGCATAACCACTACCATTATCTGTGGTTATGACAAATATAGTACACTTCATTTTATTTAGTGGAGGAACCCTTTTAATTAAATATTTTTTTAGGCTTATGGAAAAAAAATGCTGGTGTAATGTGTGGATTGACAAGTAACTTACAATCCTGACATACGAAGGTAAGAGGATTATTCGTTAAAACAGTGAATTGAAAAAGAAATTGCAAAATGCAGGCAAACAGCTGATTTCGTAAAAATAAATATAAGTATATAAGTCGAGTATAAGTCGAGACCCCTAATTTTACCCCCCAAAAAATGGGAAAACTTATTGACTCGAGTATAAGACTAGGGTGGGAAATGCAGCAGCTACTGGTAAATTTGTAAATAAAATTAGACCAAAAAAATTATATTAATTGAATATTTATTTACAGTGTGTGTATATAATGAATGCAGTGTGTGTGTGTGTATATATGAGTATGAATGCAGTGTGTGTGTGTATGAGATGCATATTATTATTTTAATATTATTACATTTTTTATTTATATATTTTTTCATCCCCCCTCCCTGCTTGTTAGCTGGCCTGGGAGGGGGTCTCTCACTCCCTGGTGATCCAGTGGTGTGCACTGTGTAGGAGGGGGGCTGGCACCGAGCTGTAACTTACCTTTCCTGCAGCTCCTGTCAGCTCCCTTCTCTCTCCTCCAGTCCGGTCAGCTCCCTTCGCCTCCACTGTAAGTCTCGCGGCCGCGCGGAGCGTTCCCCGCGGCTCTCGCAAGATTTACAGTGGAGCTTTTTTAAAACACACTACTCTTAGGGTTGCCACCTCGCTGGTATTTATTTGAGTCTGCCTGGCCGATGTCGATATTGCGGTAATACCGGCAATTCAAATGCCCGTAATTTTCTCATTATAAACAGAGATTACTCTGCAATACCATTACCGGCCAGTAGGGGTTACTGTGTGTGTGGAAAGAGGCTGGGATAGGAAATTACATCATGCACCTGCATCTTTCTACTCCCTGATCTGCGGAGAGCAGCTATACAGCACAGAGAATCCAGACAGAAGCTTCCAGCCTGAGACAGCCTACAGCTCAGGGAAATGAGGGATGGGGTAAAGGCTGCAGGAAGACATGGGGACACAGACACGGGGAAACAGGGAGATCTCTGGGGACGCTGAGACACTTGGAGACACGGGGACACAGACAAACTAGGGGATGCTGGGAGACATGTGGAAACAGACACACATGGGGACGCTGGGAGACTTAGGGACATTGTGTCCCTAGTGTCTCATGTCTCCCAGCCAGTGTCCCTGGTATCTCAGTGTCCCCATGTCTCCCAGTATCCCTAGTGTCTCAGTGTCCCCATGTCTCCCAGTATCCCTAGTGTCTCAGTGTCCCCATGTCTCCCAGTGTCCCCTAGTGATATGGGGACACTAGGAGACATGGGGCACTGAGACACTGTGATACATAGTCTCAGTGTCCCCCAAGTCTCCCAGTATCCCCAAGTGTCTGTGTCCCTAGTGACATGGGTACACATGGAGCAATGGGGACACAGACACTAGAGGACACTGGGTGACATGGGGACACTGGGAGAAACTGGGAACAATCCATCTATATGGCAGAATCAAACTGTAAGTAGGTTTTTGGTGATTTCACAAAATTTTCTCTGTCACACCTTGTGATTTACATCATGTGATGTCACAAACACATAATTAGTTATGCATATGAGTAAGGCCTGTATTTTTTTTTTCCAAGAAAGGTGGCAACCCTAACCACTCTTCACATACTCTTGCTTAAGTATGGAAACTTTAGATGGATATATGGAAGCAAACCTTGTGTGGACTAGCAGAAATGAAATTAGTTAAGGTAATGCTGGCTTTGGCTTCTCTCGGACACTCTGGCATGTTCCCTTTCTTCTACACTCACTTCATCCACATTTTCTCTGTCTCAGACTGTATACCAGGAGCCACTGCCTACTAGTAAGAAGGTAAGGAGACAAGTGGACATGTGAGTGCTAGGGGACAGTCCTTAGAAAGCATGGATCAAGCGCATCATTAGACGCATTTATACCAAGCTCAGGATGCTGTTGGCCAGGATGCATGATTGGCAAGTAGCCTGACATGCATTTATGCCAGGCTAGCCTTCCAATTCTTTGGGCAGACACGCCTTCTTTTTGGGCATGTTCGGCCATTTCAGAAGTTCTGGTTACATGATCTGTGCCAGTGGCACACCCTTTTACACTGTCCATTGACTTCTTGCTTCACTGGACACTGCTGTTAGGGGGTATGGATTTACTTGAAAGCATGAATCAGAGAGAGATTAGCATATTTTAAGATAATCTGAGTTTTTTTTATAGCTGCATCCTATGAGTTTCTCTCCGGCAACATCGCCATCAGATATATAACGCTTGAGAGGTATGACTGTTTTAGTGTTTTTGATCAATAAGATTCTGTAATTAAGCCCCTCATAATTGTCAGCACCAGGCCCACTAGGCTCTTAATCTGGCCCTGCTAAGGATAAATATTTAAATTGGTAAATAATACAGGGAAAGGGACAGCACTGACAACACCTGCTAGAAATAATATATTGGGAGGCAGCTAACCCCATAAGTGGGAATCCCTTTTCCCCGCTTGTGGAGACAGTAAACAAAAGTAAAAACAACAAAAGGGGCAGCAACACAGAGCAGAAAGTTACAGTAGGAAACAACTTAGAAAGGAAAAAATATATATAAACTAGAAAAGTTACAATTTCTGGGGAAATTGTGTGAAGTGTTCTTGCCTCCACCTGTAGTCTACAACTGGAGTGGGCGGAGTAACTGTTATCATTTACATAGCACATTTAATTGCAACGTTGTTGCACAGTTACATTAAACCATACATTTATAAAAACATTAGCAGGTGTTCAAAAGGCCCTGTCTATGACATCACTTGCTGCTGCAGCTTGACACAGGTCAGAGTATTTTGGTAGTTGCCATCTTCAAACGGTCGTATCTTAAAAACTATAACTCCTACAGTGAAGAGCTTTATATTGTGAGAATCACAAGACCCAGACCTACATTTGATGCATAGTATGTCTCTGAAGTATTAAAATTGAAGGCACAGTCGCAGTTTAGAAATTGCACTTCAAATTTGAGCTTTGTAGAGTGAAGTTTCAATGAATGTCAATGGGCGGCGTTAGTTGCAAACAAATGATTATATTGTGAAAACTATCAGGACTATGGCTTAGCCGTTGACATGTTTAGTGGCAGCAGGGATAGCTGAACGTTTTGATATAAGATTTGTGTAGGTGGGCCTGAAAATAAGGGAGTGGTGGCAGTTTAGAAATCATGTCCTGATTTTTCAGCTTTTACCAGCTCCACTCTAGCTTTGCCATTCATTCCTATGGGACAAATTTCGCCACAAGAACGACGATATTCCGTGAACCATTCGGCGAAACGTTCCACAAAGTAATAGCAATCCGATCGGGAACAATCTGCACGTTTTGGCAAATTTTTGTCTATGTAGTGTAAAAACTGTGGGAGGAGTTAGGGTGGCAAATTTTGCTATAATAATAATAATAATAATATATATGTGAGATAACATTAAGTGGTCTTGCTATGCAAGAACACTTAATAAAAAAATAAAAAAAATGGTTATATATACGGAAATGTCCTGATTATAGAGTCCAGTAGTAGGAAAAGTCCAAAACTAATATTCCAATATGAATGTAAATGTACATTAGCCAGGGGTGGTATCCGGAGGCATGGGAAGGATTCTTCTATGGGGGATGTTAAAGATGATCAGCAGTGAATCCGTATATGGAAAAAGAAAGGAGATGATGGTCCAGTATGTACTGGCAGTGAGTATAAAATATATACCGTATTTATCGGCGTATAACACGCACCGGCGTATAACACGCACCTCATTTTAAGAAGGAAATTTCAGGGGGGAAAAAAACTTAAATTTCAAATAAAGAACTTCTTACCCCCTTCTTACTGCCCCCTCCCCCTCTTCTTACCCCCCCTCTACTTACTTCCCCTTCCCCCTCTTACCCCCTTCTTACTCCCCCTCTTCTTACCCCCTTTCTTACTCCCCTCTCCCCCCTCTTCTACCCCCTCTTCTTACCCCTCTCCCTCTTCTTAACCCCTTTCTTACTCCCTCCCCTTCTTACCCTCTCCCTCTTCTTACCCCCTTTCTACTCCCTCCCTCTTCTTACCCCCCCTCTTCTACTCTCCCCCCTTCTTCCCCCCCTCTTCTTACTCCCCCCCACTCTCTTTTTACTCCCCTCCCCTCCCGCGTGGCCGAGCTGCTCTGCTGTCCGCGGTGGCCGGCCGGAGTGATAGGAAGGTGCACGCTCAGTGTGCACCTTCCTGTCAGTCCGACCGGGTACAGGAAACAGAAACTCCTGTTTCTTTTTTTTCACCCTTATATGACATCATTTTGGAGCCATAATCGTATTTTAGGTAATTACCCACACTCCATTTCTAAACCCTAACAAACCAGGTCAGTTTTTTCTTACCGCCACTTGAAAAAGCCTTTTAAGGTGAAATGCATTGTGGTTTTTATCTGGATATTTTATATTTGTATGAATAAAGGTATTTTGGTTACTTCCTGTGCCATTTTACTCTTATCATACATTTTATTTTTGTTACTTTTTAAAACTATTTTTATCATGTACTGTCTGGCACCTGATTTTATTTCCAGTGAACATCACTTCCAAGCAATATCCCCGGTGGGGATTATTTTACCCACGCCCTATCCATAGAGCAGTTTGCCTGTTCTGGAACAAGTGAGTAAATTATTCACCATCCATATTCCTGGTATTTTAAACTGTGAGTACTATTTGTCGTTTCTTTTTCTATCTGCATCCATATTGGAATACTAGTTTCGGTCTTTCCCTCTCTTGACTCTATAATCAGGACATTTCCATATATATGACCATTTATATATATTTTTTTTTCCTAAGTTGTTTCCTACTGTACCTTAGGTATGTCTGCTCTGTGGCACTGCCCCTTCTGTTTTTACTTTTGTTTACTAAATAATACAATCACTGTACATTTTCTTTGCCAAAACAGGATTTGTGAACAAAAAAAGATTTGTATATTTAAGAAACACTATAGGGTCAGGAGCAAAACATGTATTCCTGGACCTATAGTGTTTAAAAACCACTATCTATCCTCTCATTGCCCCCCCTAAATATAGTAAAATGTTACCTTTATTCCAGTCTGCTGGTACTAGCCCTGCCTCTGATTTGCATAATTGGCTGACATAATCATAAGTGGTGATCTCAGCCAATCACAATGCTTTCCCACAGGAAAGCATTGGATTGGCTGAGATTGGGGCAGAGCCAGCACAATCCAAACACAGCCCTGGCCAATCAACATCTCATAGAGATACATTGCATCAATGCATCGCTAGAAGGAATGTTCAGTGTCTCCATGCAGAGGGTGGAGACACTGAATGTTGCACACTGCCCCAGGAAGCACCTCTAGAAGCTATCTGAAGAGTGGTCACTGGAGGTATCTCTAGGCTGTAATGTAAATACTGCATTTTCTCTGAAAGGACAGTGTTTTCTGCAACAAAAACTGAAGGGTATGCGTATACTCACCAGAACAAATACAATAAGCTGTGGTTTTTCTGGGGATAAAATATTTTGTAGCCTTGTTAATTAGACCAAAAATGTACCATCTCTATGCCAATTCCCTATAGTTTGATAATGCTGTATGTGCTCTTCATCTACAGGTCATACAAACATTAAAGATACACTCTAGGCTGGAACTGACTATCCTTTTCTACAAAGTTGATGCATTAAAGGGAAACTCCAGTGCCAGGAAAAAACAATCCGTTTTCCTGGCACTGCAGGTACCCTCTCTCCCTCTTACCTCCCATCCCAGGTAGTTGAAGGAGTGAAAACCCCTTCAGGTCACTTACCTGAGACGTCACCGATGTCCCTCGGCGGTGGTTTCGGGCCGGCGTCTTTCCTCCCAGTAATCACGTCAGCCGGGGGGCGAGACTGCACGCGCATTAGGGCTCCCCATAGGAAAGCATTGAAAAAGATTTTCAATGCTTTCCTATGGGGAATTGAGCGACGAATCAGGAAGTGCCCTCTAGTGGCTGTCTAGTAGACAGCCACTAGAGGTGGAGTTAACCCTGCAAGGTAATGATTGCAGTTTATAAAAACTGCAATAATTACAGTTGCAGGGTTAAGAGTAGTGGGAGTTGGCACCCAGACCACTCCAATGGGCATAAGTGGTCTGGGTGCCTGGAGTGTCCCTTTAATATAAACAAAAGCATTACATTATGATAATGATAAGTATACTCATATTTGAAGTTTTGCTGCAAATTCAAATTCTTGCAGGTTCTAAAATAAGCTCTCACCAAGTCAAACAGTAATAACCAATCATGATGATTGTAGAACTCTTTCTAGCATGAAGTGATCTGATAAGCAGTGTTTATCGGCATAGGACGTGTTTCAATTTGTTGTAGTTCAACTGTCTGCAATGTACTAAGAAAAGCTGAATTTTAACTCCTAGAAACCCAGGTCATGACATCATGTGCACCAGTGTGTTTACTGAGCAAGAACGTACACACACACTGCAGGTTGGGAAAGACATTATATGGCGTAAAACTGTCATTGACTGTCATCATATGTAAAATTAATTTAAAGATAAATGAAAAAGCAACATCATAACTGATCTGGTCACCCTTTAGTGCTTTATTCCGTGAAGTGTAAAATGTTGAGAATTGACACATGAATTTGACATTTTAAGCCAAAACAGATTAAGTAGAGAAATCAATTTCAACAATTTTGTCTTAAAATGATCCATAATCTGCACTTCATGGAAAAACAACATTGTGTTATTGTGACAGCTCAGCAGTCATTGGACTACAACCCCAAACAACTGGAGGGCCATAGTAACCCTGACCTGAAACAATGTATGCATTAACACACCTAGATACAATGCAAGTGGGGCCCCAAACATGCACTGTGACTGAATCACCATCCCACATTGCTCAATGGGCACCGACTATTACATGATCTGACCATTAATAACCATTACTAAACCACTAATAACCATTACTGACCACTAACCATTAATAACCATTACCGACCACTAACCATTAATAACCATTACTGACCACTAACCATTAATAACCATTACTGACCACTACTGACCACTAACCATTAATAACCATTACTGACCACTAACCACTACTGACCACTAACCATTAATAACCATTACTGACTACTAATAACCATTACTGACCACTAACCACTAATAACCATTACAGACTACTAATAACCATTACTGACCACTAACCACTAATAACCATTACTGACCACTAATAACCATTACTGACTACTAATAACCATTACTGACTACTAATAACCATTACTGACCACTAACAACCATTACTGACCACTTATAACCATTACAGACTACTAATAACCATTACTGACCACTAACAACCATTACTGACCACTTATAACCATTACAGACTACTAATAACCATTACTGACCACTAACAACCATTACTGACCACTTATAACCATTACTGACCACTTATAACCATTACAGACTACTAATAACCATTAATAATCATAACTAACCGTTACTGACCACTATCACTCTCTACCACACATTACCTACGGGACATTATTCAGGGATCATTAGTAGCTGTATGGCGCCCACACCCCATAATACCCACAGGGAGCTGCTGATTGCTGCCTATCCCCCTGCACCCCATACCCAGACTGTATGACACGGATTATTATTATAATGTGAATAATAGACCCAGACTGTATGACACGGATTATTATTATAATGTGAATAATAGACCCAGACTGTATGACATGAATGATGTAAGTACATCTCCCTGCCCTCACAGACACTCACATACAGGGTGAGCGGCGTTACAGCCAGTGCTGCCCGCCCCGTATGATGCATGGCTGCCTGCACACACACCGTGCGCTACATATACAGTAAGTGAATGGAATACAGACGGTGCTCTCACCTGGGTGGGCTCCTGCTCGCTGCCGCAGCCCGTTTCCGGTTTGGCTGATGCCAGTCGGCCCCACGCTCTGCGCCGCTCGGTTGCCAGGCGCCGGGGAGCTACAGGGAGGAGGGAGCAGGGATACTGGACTGGAGACAGACCGGACTAGTAGAGCGGCCGAGTGAATCGATCGGAGCAGGGATACTGGACAGGAGATAGTGTGGACTAGTAGAGCGTCCGAGCGAATCGATTGGCTCCTGAATAGGGAGATTCCAGAAACGAATATTGAGAATGAGCAGGGATAGACAGGGAGGGGGGCACACAGCTTATTGATGATGAAAAGTTTATACAGAGTCTCTGAATGGGTGTCAGAGAATAAATACAAATTTTATCTCAGTTTGAGAAAGGAGGGCTAGCTTCACATACTGTAATGTTTTGGAGAGAGGTGCTGCTCAGCACTTAGCTAACAAGCCAAAAGTAATTTTGGCAGGGCTATCACTAAAGTAAAATGAAAAGTAATTAAAAATAGCTGAACTAGAAGCATAGCTGATTTGAAGATTTTTTTTCTCTCTTGACCATGAATTTGACAATCAGCTTGAATTCCTACTTTAGGGAATAACCTTGTTAGTTATGCCATTCACTTAAAGGGACGCTGTAGTCACCATCAAAACTTTGCATAACTGCAAGGTTGATGGTTCATAGAGGGCCATTTGCCAATTCTCAGCTATGAGAGGGGCTTAGAAAGAACTGAAGATTTTTACTGCCACTCTAAACCAGCACCAGAGCAGTCAAATTGCTTCTCAAAGAAACCAAATATAAGTGGGAGATTGCCACAATGGAGAGGTATCTAGCTGAAAAAAATTACACCAAGAGGCTTACACTTCTTTAAAACTACCACGTTTGAAAAAGAAAATTAGAAATACTCCAGAATCTGGGATGAAGCTTTGGAGCGCTTCTCATTTGAATGTATGAATATACTTACAGCTCGTAGATCAGAATCAATTTCCAAAATAGACGAGGAAATACATGTTATACGACAAAACCTACAACCATGTGTGGGGACAGAGGACTTTGATGAATTATCAGAGAGGACCAAAAATAGCATAGATAAGCTAGAGAGGGAGATTAAAGAAAAGTTAAAGAAAGTTTATAATGAAGGAAGAGTAAGAAATTTTAGAAAAGAAAAGTCCATTAGGAAAGACTACTCAAGATATAAAGTAGATATGAATACCAAGAGGTATACTAATAGCAACAAATTTCAGAACAGAATTCCGCAACAGGAGTTTGAAACCACAGGTAGGAGAATTTAAATCTAATAAGCAGGGAATAGAAAGGAAGCGTGGGTAGAAGTAAGACCCAGACATAGGAGATATAATGAGAGAATGCAATCCCCTAAAAAAACAATAAGATGATGGCAAGTCAAGGAGATTTGTGAGTCCTAGAAAAAATGCTTCCTATAATAGGTTTGAAGTCCTGAGGAACGAAAATACAGAACAGGATTTTTTAGACACAGAACCGAGGAGGAACGAATTTCCTATAGGAAAATACGTTTTGGGGATGCAGAGGAGGAAAACAGAAGAAAAGAGAAAAGGTACAATCGGTAGTTCCAATGGGTATCAATAATATCGCCTCACACCCCCTAAATATTAATGAAATACAAGTCCTTAATAAAGGCTTAAAATTTGCACCCATGAGGCACTTTAATCCGTTCTCTGCATACATTGACCTTATGAAATATGGACTGAGACTAGGTATTAAAATTTAAAAAAAAGAAAAGAAAATTTAATGCAGAACAAAGGTTAGATGAGACAGATATTTTTAAACACACATCTTTTCAGAATAGATCAAACGTTGATCCAAGTCATCTTAAACACAGTAGCAAAGAGGCGTTTGAAAATTTGGGAGAAAGAATAAAAATTGGAACCTTACACATGAAGTCCTCATAGAGGACTGAGAGAAAATGATCGCATTGTCATCAAGCCCGCAGATAAAGGCAGTAGTTTGGTTATAATGGATACTGAGAAATATTTGGCAGAATGTGCACGCCAATTAGAGGATACTGAGGTTTATACAAGGCTTAATGGAGATCCACTGAGTAAGATGAGGAGATTCTATCGGTACTTTTGGATACAGGAAAAATGGAGGGGATTTTGAAAACCAAAGGAATATGAATTTTTAAATATTAAGTCACCTAGAACCCCAGTTTTCCATATCCTTCCAAAAGTGCATAGGGACCTTCATAATCTGTGATGTTACCTCTCTATATACATGTACACCACATGATAAAGGGTGTGCAGCAGTCAAATATGTCTTAGAACAAGATCAACATTACCACCTGGACAAATTGATTTTTTTAATAGAGTGTATCAGATGGACTTTGGATAATAATTATTTTTGGTTTGATTCTTTTTTTTTTCTGCAGAAGAGAGGAACGGCGATGGGCAGTACTTATGCATCCAGCTATGCAAACATTTTTATGGCACATCTGGAGAACTCGTTCATTTCTGGTGCGCATAGTTCGAGTGCACAGGTATCGCCGTTATATCGATGATATGATTTTTATTTGGGAAGGAACAGAGGATAGTTTTGGAGATTTTTAAAGATATCTTAAAGATAATAGCTGGGGCATGCATCTCACGAGTAATATTAGCACTTTATGTATTGACTTTTTAGATTTTAAAATTTATGTGGAAAATGGAGTCCTCAAAACACAAACTTTCTTCAAAATGTTTCATATCACACTGGGCACTACTCCCCTTGGCTTAACAATATACCAAAGGGCCAATTACTTAAGCTAAAAACGAAATTGTACAGAGGAAGCAGTGTTCCATCAACATGCTGAGGATCATTTGTGTAAATTTAAGGAGCAATCTTATCCAGAAGACATTCTGGCAAAAAGCTTACAATGAAGTGAAGCCAATTACACAAACGGATTTGATCCAAAAGGAGTAAAGATAAAAGACCAGGACATTTTTAATGAAGTGTTAGTTTTTTATTTTAATAATCAACATAAATGCTTGAAAAAAAACTATTGATACATTTTGGCCTATATTAAAAACTGACAGAGATCAATTGAGCTACTTCCATTAAAACCCAGGATTACCTTTTGAGGTGCTCTGAGTTTAATAAGTAATCTAGTACTTATCTACCTAAAAGAAAAACCCAGAAAAACAATGGGGATCCCATTGGATTCTACAGATGTAAGATATGCTGTGCTTGTAAGAATATGGGATATTTACAAGGAAATGGAGTGGCAAAGTTGAAATCAGAAAGAACACAGGAGTACAAGATCAAAGAACACATTACTTGCCATAGCATGGAATAAGAGAGCATATTTATAATATAAAAAAGGGAGTAGAGAGCCACAGTGTCTCAGAGCATTTTAAGAAAGCACGTGGGCAAGATCCAAAAGGATTAGAATTTATAAGCACTAAGAAAGTACAGGGAGATTGGAGAGGAGGGGATTTTATTCGTAAGATCGGATAGGAGGAGATGAAATGGATTTTTCAAATGGAATCATTCACTCTGTCCGGTCTTAACAAAGATTTTAAACTTTGGAATTTTCTATAATTTTTATTTTTTATCTTTTTATATATCTTTTTCTCTTTTTTTTTACTTTTTTCTCCTTCCAGTTTTTAGAATTTAGTATTTATGATATGAGTGTTTTTAGGGTTTATTTTTGTATTTATTAAGATTTTTTAGCTGCTTACAAATTATAATGTTATTCATTAAGATTTGATTTAGACAATCCACCCCTATTCAGATTTTCAAAGGATTGTTATATCTGACATATTTTATTCATATAACAGATGGATTGTTTTACATATGCCCTTTTATATATATATATATATATGGATTATGTATCTTTCTCCTCAGATCTAGATGTTCTACTTTTAAAGGACCACTATAGTGCCAGGAAAACATACTCGTTTTCCTGGCACTATAGTGCCCTGAGGGTGCCCTAGAGGCTTTAGAGGCTGGATTAACCCATTTATAAACATAGCAGTTTCTCTGAAACTGCTATGTTTATAAAAAAAAATGAGTTAATCCTAGAGGGACCTGGCACCCAGACCACTTCATTAAGCTGAAGTGGTCTGGGTGCCTAGAGTGGTCCTTTAAACTGATTTATTATTCTATATGTATTCTTATTAGGGTCCTATTTTATATGTATGTTTTTACTTTTTTTATTTTCTACACACTTTTAAAGATATTTATGAGTATGTTTTTTGCACATAAATATTGACATCCCTGCACTTTGTCTTTTACAAGGAATTACCAAGGTATTTCTGTTAATCTTTTTACTTTAAAATATATGTTATTTAGCATTGGGATCAGTGATGCTGTTTAACCATTAAAGAACAATTAAGAGACTCTGTGCAGAAGGACTTTTTTTGTGAATTGGATCACAAACCCTTGTATATATGACAGAGGGAAGTGGGAGGATACACAATCTGTTTGACAAAGCCCCTAAGGGAGGGGCGAAACGCGTCACTGATCCGGAGTCAGGAAGTGAATTCAGGTCAGCAGGAAAAGCCGGGAATAAGAAATCCGAAGGACTTTAAATTTTGTGTGTATATTGCAGTTGCCTTTCGGTTTCCTGAGGCTGGAGAGCAGACCAAGAACTCTATCTAGCACTTTTGTTTTTAATTTTATTCAAATAAAGAATACTTACCTGCCATCCGGGTCACAAGTGTTTTTTCCCATGGATTCTACGCACTCTAGATGTCCACAGTGAAAAGTTATATTTATTGTTGCGCACCATCACTACTGTATGTTTCATTGTGTCCAAATCGTATTACCAGGATTTGTTTTGTTGATTGCTGCACGTGTCAGATCAGATTCCTTTTGCACCATCCTATTTATAGTCGCTTTTAGAGCTGTCAGTCAGGCAGCCAGAACTATCAGTTCTTGGTTACCTATATAATTTTTGTCCATACTGTGCAAACGCTATTCGCAATTATACTTTACATCAGTTCCACCCAACTGGGTTTTACGTCTTATACCCAACACCTGAGAACACTAGAAATCAATCCTACTGCAAGCACATCATGAGTGCATCATGATATTTGTGTTTCCTTTGTGAAAAGTGTACTCCGGGCATTTAGACCTTTGCCAGGGCACTTTATATGCGCTCTGTAGATATGCAGCCCTTACGCAGTCATTTTCATGCCTGTCTTCTAGTAATCTAGTAGTCCATCCACCCTTGGCTCAATTTCATACTTCCCATTGTTGCTGTGCTGAGCTCTCCCCATTTCAATGAATAGTGAACCAACTGTGTAAACTGATAGCAGGCGTGATATAGTTGCTATCGTTTTACAGAGCAGTTCCACTTATCCTATGTGAATGTGGTCTGGATGGTATTTGTGGACTAAATTAACCCCAACCAAACCATAGAGTGAAACTCATTTTGGATTCAGTTCTTAATATATTAAGTTATAGGTATTTTAAATCTTCCATTTAATTTGCATAGTAAAAGTTTACTTTGCCAATGTTTCCTAAACTAGGTGCCCTGTACATGAACAAATGCAGTTAAAATCCCTCATTAAGTAAATGGATTGTACAACAAATATTGATATCCAGATTACTGTAGTATTTATAATGTTTTGTATATCTTTCCATATAGTTTACATTATTTATCTTGGTGATATGCTGGCTCGTATTTGAATTCAGACATATATTTCACTTTTGCCTGTTTTTTATACACAGCTCTGGAACGTTTACCTCAACCAAAACATAATTTACACAATCAATAATTATCCAAGTTACAAAAAGCAAATGATCCAGAAGGCTTCTTCAACTGATGTTGTGGACTTACCTGCTACCAGCTTGTCTGAAAAGATTTATTTTTCTTTTTTTTTCATATTTATTTCTTTATTAGTTTTAGAAATAAATAAATTATAAGAGAGAAATCAGCATAAATAAACAACAGAACACCTCCCTTGCTGTCAATCAAACAGCAATCAGGGGAGCTAACGGAAGTGACAGACAAGCTCTATTTGAGCACGCCTGCTTTCTCCACCAAGGACCTCAGATCTTTGGATCCTTCGGATCTTTAGACCTAAGACCAGCATCTCCACGCCTCACAACTCAATTAAAAAACCTCTGATTGGCTCTTTCTTCAAGAAGAGCCTGCTAGTCTCTTCCAGGGAAAAATGGGAGGGCTTCAACGATTTTGCAAGCTCTTTTAAGATCTATCCCCAATGAATACATGCATGAAAAATGCAGGCATGTATTCATTAAGGGTATATCTACTAAATAATGAATATTATTTTAAAATAAAAACATAGTTTGGAGTAGCCCTTAATTCTCACTGATCATACCCTTTATTCCAGCACTAGTTTTCAATCCATGGAGAATTATATTTGAATCGTGTGGACTATAAACCACTCCCTCTCCTACACAATATCGAAGCTGTCAAGGTTCACAAAGTATAGTAGTAGGAGTTACGAGGTAAAACTGGCTTCTTTTTTTTTACAAATTTTTTTTAAAGATGGACCACCAAATAGATTGTAAATAGAGACCAAACATATATTTGCACCGAAATGTAAAACCAGAAACAAGTGGAAAGTCAGGATAAGAAAGTAGAAAGGAGGGGTTTGGTGGGGAGTCCTTGACACTCACATGCAACATCCTCCAGACCTTATAAAACAAAGACAAGGTGTTAAGTAGGATAGAAAAGAGTTTGTCCATGGTCATGTTGTCCTTTTTTTTTACATGCTTCCCTATGGAGCTTGGAAGGTTGCGTTTGGAGCAAACATTCAGTCAAAGATTACCTAGCAGCCAAACATATTCTAGTAAATAATTTGTGCTCAATAGAAGACAGTAAATCAGTAGCTTTAGATACCGGTAACAAGTAAGATAATAATATGCTTACCAAGCACCCTATTACACAAACTATGCACTATGCAGCCAAAATGTTTAAATCGCAGGATAGGTCTACAGCATATGAAGAACCCACTATGCCAGCAAAAGTAGTATGGCATAAAAGTAATAGCAATTACAGTGCATTTGAAAGCAGTTATATGTTTGTATGTACTGTTGCTATTTGAATGCAGTGGTGAACTTGTGTTTAGTGTTTGTGTTTGTATGTAGAGTTGACGTTTGCCGGCTGGGATGTATGCACATACAATACCCAGCACATACACACTGAAACACACACAGATACATACACACTGACATACAGTTGCACACATAAACATTCAAGTGCAGACACTGACTCATGCATGCAGATACACACTGACATATACACACAAATATATACATGTACACACTGACAAACATACACACACAGATAACACATATACATAAATGACACACACATAGATACACACATTTACACACACAGATACACATACAGATAACTCCCACACACAAATATCATATACCCACAGATAATATATACACACACAGATAACACATATACACACAAATATACACATACATATAACACACAGATATCACATACACACAGATAATACATAGATACACAGATAACACATATACACAAACACAGACATTTACACACAAAGATTACCATTTAAAAAAAGGAGAGGATGTGCATTGTACTCACTTCCTCCCAACACTGTGGCTCACTGAGCAATGGGGCCCAGTCACACTTTTAAAGATGGTCATTGGGTGGCTCTAACTTTTTGCCTGCGCAATGCTGCCCAGGGCCATCTTAACAGCACTTTAGGCCTTGGGCAGGGCCGATCCTGGGCGAGTGCACGAGGTGCACCGCGCACAGGCGCAAGGAGGTGAGGGGCGCTGCGTGGAGCAGGCTAATGGCCTGTAACAGGGAGCCCAGCAGGTGGCCAGTTGGCCACTTAAGGCCGCCCCTGCAGTGGCGTTTATTTAGCAGGGCAGAGTAGTCACCTGCTTATCCCAGAATTCGGCCGAGCATCACTTCCTCCCAGTGAAAACATAGAGCCGCGCGGGAGAGATTAAGGAGACAGTGAGGAGGGGGGGCTGGGCCGGGAGAGCCAGACCCTAACTTACAACAGCCTCAGCCACCACTCAGGACACCAGAGAAGGCACCCTTCAAGGTTGGAAACAGGAGGTAGGCTAAAAGTGTAAATTGTGCATGTGTGATTGTATATGAATGTGTGTCAGTATGTCTATCAGTGTCTGTGTGTGTTAGTATTTCTGTCAGTGTGTGTGTCAGTATGTCTGTTAATTATGTGTCTGTGTTTGTCAGTATGTCTGTGAGTTTGTGTGTATGTCTGTCACTAAGTCAGTCAGTGGATGTTTCTGTGTGTGTCAACATGTCTGTCAGTGTGTGTGTATGTGTCAGTATGTCTGTTATTGTGTGTGTGTGTGTCATGTCAGCATGTCTGTCAGTGTGTGTCTGTGTGTGTGTCCGTATGTCTGTGTGTCAGTATGTGTGTGTGTCAGTATGTTTGTGTGTGTCAATATATCTGTCAGTGAATATATGTATGTCAGTATGTTTGTGTGTATGTATCAGTATGTCTGTCAGTGTATATGTTTGTGTAAGTATGTCTTGCACCTCTCTACTTTAGTTCCCCCACTGTGTCATGGTGAAATGTGTGATTGAACGCCAGCGATTGGAGGGGGGTACATGGGAAGATGTTTAGCAGTCTGTGTATGTATTCAGCAGTCTGTGTGAGTGTATGTTCATCAGTCTGTGTATATGTCTGTCACTAAGTCAGTCAGTGGATGTTTCTGTGTGTGTCAATATGTCTGTCAGTGTGTGTGTATGTGTCAGTATGTCTGTTAGTGTGTGTCAGCATGTCTGTCAGTGTGTGTGTGTGTGTGTGTCGTGTCAGAATGACTGTCAGTGTGTGTCTGTGTGTGTGTTCGTATGTCTGTGTGTCAGTATGTTTGTGTGTGTCAATATATCTGTCAGTGAATATATGTTTGTCAGTATGTCTGTCAGTGTATATGTTTGTGTAAGTATGTCTTGCACCTCTCTACTTTAGTTCCCCCACTGTGTCTTGGTGAAATGTGTACAGGGGAAGATGTTCATCAGTCTGTGTATGTATTCAGCAGTCTGTGTATATATTCAGAAGTCTATGTGTGTATTTAGCAGGCTGTCTGTACTCAGCAGTCTGTGTGTGTATGCATTTATCAGTCCGTGAATATATTCAGCAGTCTGTGTATGTATGGTATTTATGTATCTATCACATTTGTTGGAGTTACCAATAAATATAAACTTAATTTTATCGATATTTTATATTTTTATTCCTGTGAGTGGCTGTGTAGGCAGGTCCCCAGTGCCCTGTTTTGCCCGGGGGCCTATAATGCTGTTAAGACTGCCCTGCATTAGCCCTCGCTCCAGAATGCCATTAGTCTTTTCCTTTCCTTCTCCATGGCATTACTTGCAATCTTTGTCCATAAAATCCAGTCATTTGGATTTTTTGTATCTTTCGGTTCATCTCTCTCTTCCTTCCCAATCATTTGTATAAACCAATATGGAACTAATTTCAGAGTTTAGTGAATTAAATAAAAAAATTTAAATAGTATTTTTTTTTATAAATTCCGGCTGCATTTCTGTTCAAAAGCCAACTGTGTTTCATTGCCCTTCTATGTACATGGTGGAGCAACAATAAAGTTGAATCTGTATCTAATGCCTGGTAATGTCTTTTTGGTATCTCTATTTATCTGTTTTGCCATTTCCTGTAAGTTAGGGTAACCACCTAGTGACACTGAGACAACTGTTTGGCGAGTGGATGATTTCAAGAAATTCACAGAATAATTTGCTACGACGTTCGCCCGACCTTTCATCTCACGATAATTTCTTCTAGGGGCATCTGAAGGAGTGGGTGTATGTGAACCAACCACATACAATTGAGCAGCTCAAGGAGAATATCCTGGCAAAAATTTGAGCACCAGAGCCTCAAACATGTATTCCTGACCCTATAGTGTTAAAACCACCATCTAGCCCCCTGGGCCCCTCATGCCTCCATAAATATAGCAAAATCTTACTGTATTCAAGCCTGAAGTTGTAACGATGCATGCTGTTTGCCTCAGAAAAACAAGCTGTCTGCTGACATCATTAGAAGTGGTGGCCTGATCCAATCACAATGCTTCCCCATTGGATTGGCTGAGACTAAGAAGGAGGCAGATCAGGGGCAGAGCCAGCATGATTCAAACACAGCCCTGGCAAATCAGCATCTACTCATAGAGATGAATTGAATCAATGAATCTCTATGAGGAAAGTTCAGTGTCTGCATGCAGAGGGAGGAGATACTGAATGTTTTGATGCATTTTATGCAGCCATGACCCAGGAAGGATCTCTAACAGCCATCTAAGGAGTGGCCAGTGAAGTTATCACTAGGCTGTAATGTAACACTGCATTTTAAGTAATGGTCTACTCACCAGAACAAATGCAATAAGCTGTACAGTAGTTGTTCTGGTGACTATAGTGTCCCTTTAACTAATTCTATGAAGAATACAATTTGAAGAGACAGACTTTGCAAGGCACAAATAGAGCTCATTTAAAATATGTCATCTTCCAAACCTAGTCAAATATATCTCCATGCGTTAACCATTCATTTTATGTAGATTATTGAAATTGATTAATAAAAAAGTTATTGATTTCACAACCCCGTCTCTGAATTTTGTCCAGCCCTGTGTATTTATTAAATTTGTATTATATGAATAAATATAATTTTTATTTTACTGATCCTAAGAACAATAAGGATGTGGAATTCTCTGCCCGAAGAGGTGGTTTTATCAGAGTCCATACAGATGTTCAAACAGCAACTAGATGCATACTTACAAAAACAGAATACTCAAGGATATCATTTTTCAATGTAGGGTAATAGTTTCTTGATCCAAGGATTAATCTGACTTTCATTCTGAGGTCAAGATTGATTTTTTTCCCCCCCTAGTTTGTTGCAAAATTGGAAGTGCTTCAAACTGGGTTTTTTTTTTGTCTTCTTTTGGATCAACAGCAAAAAACAAATGTAAGGGAGGCTGAACTTGATGGAGCATGTCTCTTTTCAGCTATGTAACTATGTAACTATCCAATAAGTCAGTTATTTTATATTGAAACTAGACATACAGGCATCTCAAATTTAAAATTACACCTTTTGATTAAAGGAGTAATTCCTGTTGTAAACCATCTGACCTCTATCACACAGCTACATAATTTACATTAACTAGACGTGTGCAATTCGTATCGGTCTGAATGTGAATTCATACGAATTTCATGAAATTCAGACATTTGGATGCTGAACTGAACGAATGGCCGAAGTCCCGAATTTCGGAAGTGCCGAACCGAATGAGCGAAGTCCCGAATTTCCAAATTTCGGAAGTGCAGAAGTATTCGGTATTGTTAGGGTTAGGTTTTGGGTAGGGTTAGCGTATTGTTAGGGAACCCTACACATGTTCAGAATTCTGAAGTCCCGAATTGCCAAAGTCCCGAACCGATGTCCTGAATTGCCGAAGTCACAAATTTCGGAAGTCCCGAACCGAATTGATGAAGTCCTGCATTGCCAAAGTCCCAAATTTCAAAAACTGCAGAACCGAACCGAATTTTTGGATCATGCACATCCCTAACATCAACCCTTTCTGACATATGTCCTCTACCAAGTGGCCAATTCATGTATGCACTACACAAGTTACATTAAATAACAATATTCTAAAGTGCAACAGTGAATTATGTGCCCTTGCCGTGATACTGCTCACTATAAAAGGGTTACTCAAAGCACCATGACTACTTCACTGACTTGTAGTGTTCATGGTGTATGGAGTTCAAACCCTACTCTGCTGAAGGTGTGACTACATCTCCCGATGTGTCTTTGGGGCAAAAGCTCCAGGTGGCTAATGTGAATCATGCACAACTTTAGCATCTGACGCCCGTCCGCTTCTCTGCCGCTCATGTCCTTTTCTCTGCTCGCCCGTCCCGACCTCTCTTCAGGCATGGAGGATTGGGCTGCAGAGAAAACGTGGCCTTTTTTAACATTTCTTTTTTTAATTGTGGTGGGAGTAAAACAAGCACAGCAAGGGTTAAAGGGAAACTAAAGTACCAGAAATACAAACTTGTTTTCCTGGCACTGTAGCTTCCTCTTTTGTCAAGGCCCCCTCCCGCGGCGCTGTCACTTACCTGGGTCCAGCATTGAATGCTTTCCTATGGGGATTCTGGCGACGCTGGACCAAAAGTCGTCTTAGAACCCGGAAGTCCCTCTAGTGGCTGTCTGTAGACAGCCACTAGACAGCCACTAGAGGAGGACTTAACCCTGCAAGGTAATTATTGCAGTTTATAAAAACTACAACTATTACTACTCTAGGGTTAAGGGTGAGAGGCAGATCATTTACCTGTCAGAGCACTCTGATTGGATGGCTTAAACCAACCAATTAGAGCACTCTGAGCCTACTTGCAGGGGGGGGCAAGGCTTTATAAGGCTTTCTGCGCCGTGCCGTCGCCGGGTGAAGATGGTTTCTTTTTTTAGCGTTGTTTTTTTTTATTTTCGTCTGATTTTTTTTTGCGCTCTCGTTTTTTAATTTTATTTTTTACAAGTTCAACGGGTATGATGGTTTTTATTTTGGCCTTTTTTGGGGCTGATAAATGAAGATTTTAGATAAAAGAAGACATCAAATGGTAAGGTTTATTTTTTTTACAGGTAGTTAGTTCTTTTATTCCCCCCTCACTATTTTTAGGGTGAGGGGGGTAGGTAGGAGATAATTTTTTATTTGGGGAGGGGGTGACTAGGGGTTCCCCCCCCACTCATTTACCTGAGCGGTGGGTGGGGATGGGGGGGAGTACAATAGGCCCCCCTCATTTTACTTTATGGCCCCCAACCACCACTCAGGGGAGGCGGCCGGGGGGAGGACAATAGGTCCACCCCCCTCATTGTTATTTATGGCCCCTACCCACCGCTCAGAGGTGGAGGCCGGGGGGGGAGGACAATAGGTCCCCCCCTTATTGTCATTTATGGCCCCCACCTGCCACTCATGGGCAGGGGCTTGGGGGTAGACAATAGGTCCCCCCTCATTGTTATTTATGGCCCCCACCCACCGCTCAGGGGTGGGGGCCAGGGGGATACTAGTTGGTTTTTTTTAACAGTGAGCAGCCACAGGCTGCTCACTGTTTAATAGACATGCCCCACTCGCGGTATAGCGAGTAGAGGAAGAATTTACTAATACTAAGTAATTTTTACTTAGTATTAGTAAATGTGGCTGAAAGACCAATTTAGGTCTTTCAGCCTTTTGGTAGATAGCTCCCTGAAACCGTGGGAATTAGGGAGTTATCTACTAAGCAGCTGCAAAATGCCGCCGCGGTATGAATTAGATTGGAGTTTCATTCATTGGAATGAAATTCCAATACGAACAAAGTCCCGAATTGCATCCTAACACTAATGAACAAACTGTTCTCATTCTGTTAGGAAGCAATTCGGCAGTTTCGCCGGTGTTCTGTCTAAGTGACAGGCCATTTGGGAATACTGACAAGAAGCATCGCGGGAACAGGGAGGAAAGCTAAGAACTGTGGGAAAATTTCTCTGACCACCGGAAACGAAGCACACTTTGCTCCTCCGCTGGTCAGAGATGGTCACGGCGTAGGAAATCTCCATAAGGCAAATAGTCCCTACTTTGTCTTATGTTTTAAAGAAAAATAGAGCAGACAGGAAGAAATGAAGAACAGATCCTGAGAGAGGGAGAGAAGAGGAATCGATTAAAGAAAGCTAAGTTCAGCATGACAGTGCCGCTTTAAAGGGTTAATCTAACCATTACTAGTGTTTTATAAAAACACTGTTTGTGATTTCAAAGTTCTCTACTGATGCAGACACCAACAGTGTCACTCACTAAACTGAATTTCCTAAAATATCCAAGCCGTGACTATGGTCGATTTGCATCATTTTTTCCAATCGGCTATTTTCACCTCGGTCTTTCACTGGACAGAAATACACTGAGACAGCGGTAGCTACATGTAAACACAAGGAGCAGCACACATGTCGCCACTCGATGATCATCAGAGTGTTCACTTTATTGTTTAGAACTCGGAATGGGAGGGATCGTTGATACCTAGTGTGAGCCTTCCATCTAGACCTGAAACTCCATAGCCGATCACAAACGGTTTGTGCTTAGACTGCTGATCGATGTGTTCGTCGTATCTGTTCATTTGGTCTGGCGTACTATTCACACTTTCCCGCGTTCAAGCTGACGGCGCGAGAGCGGTATTAGACGAGAAGGTAACCTGCACTCACTGTGTCAATGTTAATATGACAGATATCATTATACACTGATATCCTGTACACACTATGTAGACACTGACACCATGCACACTCTGGGTATATACACTGACACCATTCACACTCTGGGTATACACTGACACCATGCACACTCTGGGTATACGCTGACACTGACACCATGCACACTCTGGGTATACGCTGACACTGACACCATGCACACTCTGGGTATATACACTGACACCATTCACACTCTGGGTATACACTGATACCATGCACACTCTGGGTATGTACACTGACACCATTCACACTCTGGGTATACACTGACACCATGCACACTCTGGGTATATACACTGACACCATTCACACTCTGGGTATATACACTGACACCATTCACACTCTGGGTATATACACTGACACCATTCACACTCTGGGTATACACTGACACTGACACCATGCACACTCTGGGTATATACACTGACACCATTCACACTCTGGGTATACACTGATACCATGCACACTCTGGGTATGTACACTGACACCATTCACACTCTGGGTATACACTGACACCATGCACACTCTGGGTATATACACTGACACCATTCACACTCTGGGTATATACACTGACACCATTCACACTCTGGGTATATACACTGATACCATGCACACACTGGGTATATACACTGATACCATGCACACACTGGGTATATACACTGATACCATGCACACTCTGGGTATACACTGACACCATGCACACTCTGGGTATACACTGACACCATGCACACTCTGGGTATACGCTGACACTGATACCATGCACACTCTGGGTATACACTGACACCATTCACACTCTGGGTATACGCTGACACTGATACCATGCACACTCTGGGTATATACACTGACACCATGCACACACTGGGTATATACACTGACACCATGCACACTCTGGGTATATACACTGACACCATGCACACTCTGGGTATACACTGACACCATGCACACTCTGGGTATACACTGACACCATTCACACTCTGGGTATACACTGACACTGACACCATGCACACTCTGGGTATATACACTGACACCATTCACACTCTGGGTATACACTGATACCATGCACACTCTGGGTATGTACACTGACACCATTCACACTCTGGGTATACACTGACACCATGCACACTCTGGGTATATACACTGACACCATTCACACTCTGGGTATATACACTGACACCATTCACACTCTGGGTATATACACTGACACCATTCACACTCTGGGTATATACACTGACACCATTCACACTCTGGGTATATACACTGACACCATGCACACTCTGGGTATATACACTGACACCATGCACACTCTGGGTATACACTGACACCATTCACACTCTCGGTATATACACTGATACCATGCACACTCTGGGTATACACTGACACCATTCACACTCTCGGTATATACACTGATACCATGCACACTCTGGGTATATACACTGACACCATGCACACTCTGGGTATACACTGACACCATTCACACTCTGGGTATACACTGACACCATTCACACTCTGGGTATATACAATGACACCATGCACACTCTGGGTATACACTGACACCATTCACGCTCTGGGTATATACACTGACACCATTCACACTCTGGGTATATACACTGACACCATTCACACTCTGGGTATATACACTGACACCATGCACACTCTGGGTATATACACTGACACCATGCACACACTGGGTATATACACTGACACCATGCACACACTGGGTATATACACTGACACCATTCACACTCTGGGTATACACTGATACCATGCACACTCTGGGTATATACACTGACACCATGCACACTCTGGGTATACGCTGACACTGATACCATGCACACTCTGGGTATATACACTGACACCATGCACACTCTGGGTATACGCTGACACCATGCACACACTGGGTATACGCTGACACCATGCACACACTGGGTATATACACTGACACCATGCACACACTGGGTATATACACTGACACCATGCACACACTGGGTATATACACTGATACCATGCACACTCTGGGTATACACTGACACCGTGCACACTCTGGGTATACGCTGACACCGTGCACACTCTGGGTATACGCTGACACCGTGCACACTCTGGGTATACGCTGACACCGTGCACACTCTGGGTATACACTGACACCGTGCACACTCTGGGTATATACACTGATACCGTGCACACTCTGGGTATATACACTGATACCATTCACACTCTGGGTATATACACTGATACCATGCACACTCTGGGTATATACACTGACACCATGCACACTCTGGGTATATACACTGACACCATGCACACTCTGGGTATATACACTGACACCATGCACACTCTGGGTATATACACTGACACCATTCACACTCTGGGTATATACACTGACACCATTCACACTGTATACTCTGACACTGATACCATGTAATACCTGTACACCGACACCATGCACACTCTTGGTATATATACCTAGCCAATTCATGCACACTCTGGTATATACACTGACAATTATGCACACACTGGGTATATACACTGACACCATGTACACTCTGGGTATATCATGACACTGATACCATGTACCTGGGTATACACATACCGCACACCGGTATACATTACTGACACCATTCACACTCTGGGTATATACACTGACACCATTCACACTCTGGGTATATACACTGACACCATTCACACTCTGGGTATATACACTGACACCATTCACACTCTGGGTATATACACTGACACCATGCACACTCTGGGTATATACACTGACACCATGCACACTCTGGGTATATACACTGGTACCATGCACACTCTGGGTATACGCTGACACCATGCACACTCTGGGTATACGCTGACACCATGCACACTCTGGGTATACACTGACACTGACACCATGCACACTCTGGGTATATACACTGACACCATGCACACTCTGGTGCAGGTGTGTATGTGTGATGTCTTATACAATGCTCCGGCTATATCTAGTTCTAGCATTCTCATATGTTGTATTAGAAGGCATCAGTGTGGTCGTTTGCTGGGTATCTGTATATTTTATAAAAAAATTGCCAGGATTGTCTAAAAACTTATATTTTCTGTTGCTGTTATGAAATAAAGAATAGAAAGCAAAGCACAACCGAACATTTTTGATGCAGTGTTAAATAAATATTTTTTATTTTTATTATGTATTTTTGCATAATAGGTAATAAACACAGGCTCAAAGGAACCCCAAAGGCAATCCTTAGTCTTATAGTATCGTAGTACAGTTGGGGTAATGGCTAGGGCATGCACATTTTTTATAATACAAACGTGAGGTACATTGTCAGCGGGTAACTGCAATAAGCGGGATATGCAAGCTGACTGCAGGGTTGTTCAGGATGATGGGAGTCATCCCATGTTCGACATGACGATATTTAACAGGCTGTTCATACTGATCATAGGATTAAGGAAACTGATATCGCTACATACGTTAAACTAGCAAGCAGGTGAAACATCAGTTATTGAAAGAGCGAGTTCTCACGGTATGTACGCGGTCGAAAACTAGGGTTAGTGTATCACATCAGTCCGCACAAGTTCAGCTGATGCCCAGTCTGGAGGTATTGGTTACATGCCTGGGATGGACGTCGTTGAGCCTCACCAGCTGCTCCTCGGTACTCCGTGCCTCCACATCAGTCACACAGCGCAGTTCGGATGAGGCGCTCCTCCTGCCCTGGGACCTTTCAGGAGCCAGTACCAGAACTTGGTCTGTTGTGGAAGAGTAAACTAGTGTCACTAAAGAAAATGTCAGCATCTAATGTAGTACCTTTCCCATCTTCTCTCACTCAGCCCTACCATGTAAGTGGATGTGTCAGTTTGAGGATATTTGGGGGAAAAATAAAAAACAATTCTGCTTTAAGCGCACACAAAAAAGAAAACATCTTTTTCTCAGTTATATGATATCCTATATGTGTCTTTAAAAATCCCTCAAAATTAATAAGTGGTCATAATGCCAGGGGTTCCCTGGTACTATCCCACAGTACGTATTCAAACTTTCAAACTGTTTGACATTTAGTTGGATCACCTGATCGCCTCAGGTCAAACTTTCTTTTCTGATAACACGAAGATGTAAGTTCCCTTTCAATATTTGTGACAACTAAGTCTATGCTTGGGTAGAATTCATTGGTTGACAGCATTAGCTGACTTGCTGAACAAATAAATTTTGTCCAAACATGGAGAAAATTGATATATCTACTGCGAATTGCTTTAAATATCGCAGAAATTAAAACTCTCCCGGAGGTGCCTGGGTGACCAAAATAAGTGTAATTCCAAAAACAGTTTTACCACTTATAGTGGAAAGAAACCAGGGGACTCGTGCACTGTGACTACTTGGAATGGGACTTTGTAACCCCTGGGCGTGTTGCTTCTTTCCGACCACATCGTTCCCAGCAGTGATGGGGGCAAAGCAATGCATTCCTAGCCATATATGTTGTTTTTACCCCTAGTCCTTTGCCCAATCTTGGTTTCTGTTCTGGTACCCGATTAGTATTTTTTTTTTTTTTTTGAATTTTAATTTTTATTGTTTTCTCTCTTTGCAAACAGAGTGTTTATAGCGTACAACGAAGTTAGATGTCGTCTTTACACAGCATTGA